CTCGAAACTACGACTTTACAAAGAAGAGGATTAGCACAAACTTTGCTCAGTGGGAAAGAAACGGTCAGAAAACTTATGACACTGGCTAATATTTTTTCGCACAGTTTCTAGTTTAACAGAATTGCATCGGTCACCGAAGGTCAAAAGATTTGCTTTTTTGCATTTATATCTCCGCAATCGGGGCTTATTGAAAGTGAGCAAAGTTTCATTAGAATTCCCATGGTTCAGGATATTTTAAATAATCTACGCTTTTCTGAGACACGCCAACCTCTTTTTGATTTATATTAACCAGCAAGCGCCCGGTTGACCGATAACAAATTTGTCGGAAAATGTCCTTTTTTTCAAGCAAAAATCAGCAGGGTGCTGAAAATGCACCTTTTCGCCTTTTGAGATTTTTATCTTTGACATTAAGAAATCAGAGTAGATCAGCTTTTGCAGGAAGTGAGTACATTCCAAAGAGCATAACCCGCTCTTTTAAATGGTGTGGGCATTCTGGCGCATATTAACCACTCCTCAAGAAATTAATAATGGGAACGAAAACTACGAACTTATGGAACAATCTGATACATCACACCTTTTGGAGCCGTCGGTCTTGAATTCTTCTTTCTTATATCAAATTCAAAATATTTTCTATCTATTGATTACTCACAGTATTCTGTAGCTTACAAAGTGTTAAAACTATAGTAAATGTCACATTTATGCAACACAGACTATTTTCAACGAAATAAGCTTCAGTGTGATAGCTTATCTCATAGCTCGGCACGAGGTGGCTTTCCGAAAGATTAAAAGACGAAGTTCCTCCTTACTATCCCAAAATTTTACGAAGTCCCTTTGACCTTAGACCATAAACGCGTAAAAAATCCTCAAAACGAAACGTCGACCAAAAAAGCGTAATCTAAGCTCTGTTTTTTGGGCCTCAAAAATGATATCCCCTTTTCTTTTTGCCCCCAATGATATAGCTTGTTTACAAGCTACCTATGCCGAGCTCTGGCTTATCTTTCTCGGGGGTGATCACAAAACCATTTTCCTACTCCATGAGATCAGTCTGCGTACACTTGTTCGATATTTACTCATTGCAAGACGTCCCTTGTAGATTTGTTACCTCTTCGGGACTCGCATCATCAACCGCATATACAAATGCGTGGTTGATTTCATTAGGTGTCTGTTGTCGGCGATGTTTGTCGCAATTCCGTCGATTGCCCTATCACGATGATATAAAGCAGTGTTAGTGCCCTAGATCTTTGGACTCTTATGTTCTAATTTCGCTTGAGTATCGTGAATAATAAATCGCATAACTACTTACGGTGCTACATCGCGGGAATATGCTGGATAGCCTTTTCAAACTTTTTTTTGCAAGCGCAATTGCCCAGAATGAGATTTATAAAGGCGAAATACTCCAAGCAACTTCTAAAAAAAATGAGAGATTTGTTCTATGAAGCAAATCTCGCTCCACATATGTACTTACTGCGCTACTTTTCGAGATGATGCTAATGATAGTGCTTTTTTGCTAATTTTTTTTCAAGCGCTTTATGACCCTAAAACTCTTGGATATTTTTTGTCCGAAAAATCTTGAAGCCACAATTTCGGTATAATGGCTACCTTGCATCATTCTGCGACTATCCCTATAATTATCACCAAGCATTAACTACTATTCTTTGTTAGATGCATCCTTTCCAATGCTTATGATCATCTGCCTATTCACAGGCATAAATTTTTCCAAAAAAACATTCTGCTTAGCTGAACAATGTCTCAATTCCAAACTGAGCTCTACCTTAGACTGCTTTTGACTAGAACATCAAGAACAAATTGCCGCTTTGTGTCACTTGGGGGAGACTAAAGTATCCACTATAAACTTATTAAAAGGATAGCGCTAAATAACCATACAACTCTTCAGTTTCTGAACAGGAACGGAATGAACTTTTTTGCCCTTATACGGAAAAGAAATCTGCAGAAATTCTTCCAACTCCTCAGTAAAGAAGAATAGCCTGTAAATTCGATCATTTTGACTACTGAATATGTATATCTCGGGCCAAAATGTGTCTAGCTTGAGAATCGTCGAAAGATGATCTGTTTGGAAAAAAGTCTGATTTCGATTTTACGGAAAATTGTAGTCTATATACATTTATCTGGCTTAAAGATGTACCAAGAGTTGCGAGATTATATAGTTTATGATCATCTATTAAATTTACAAATGCCAAACCACCATTTCTTCCATGCCTCCCTAGCTCTTTTCCGAAAATTGACACACTAATGCCTGTCCATTTAAATGAAGATATTTCTAAACGTCGGGACAGATGATGACCTTGATACATATACAGTTTTAGGCTTCATTTATACAATCTTGATTGTACAATGGTTTTTAGGTTTTGGCTGGGCTCTCTATTCATTCGTTCTCAGATTTCTGCTAATCCATATTACAACATATTGCTCACCTTCTTCGGTTACATGTTTGCTGAAGCAGCAGATCGTCACAAAAACATTGTAAAATTAGATTAGTCAAGTGATTGTTACAAAAAGCTTCTTGCAGCCTTTCGTATCACCATTTCAGCTTTTTCGTAGTCACGACAGATCATAGTTTGTTTAAGTGGCTATGTATTCTAGCAACATACTGGCAACATATATTATTAGTCCTTGCTTGCTTACAGAGCTTGAGCAATCGGAATCGATTTGCTGCGCTCTTGACTAAACAAATCTAATAAGTTTTTATGCGATTGCCTAGCATAAGCTTATTCACTGAACATGTTTATTGCATTACCGCCCTCGTGTGCTATTCATATATGGTTGCACGTTCGACCCCCCTCCAACCATGGCTGCGGGTTGCATCTGTACTGTTGATGACTATGCACGTCTCGACCACGCAATTCATGAAAATTACGTATCATTATTCCAGTGCCCCCCCCCCCGAGAATGGGTCCCGAAATTTTAAAAAATTACTTACATTGATATAAAAAATGTGCAAGTGACTTGTTTATACTTGTAAATGATTGAAATTCCTAAAATTCTCAAAAATTCAAATTAGGTTTGCCTACACGCTCCCTTTTCTAAAGCTTCAGGTTGTAGGAACGCAAAGATTTTGAGGCGTTTCCCAAAAGTTTTTCGGAGTCGTGGCCGTCGCTATGCACGTTCAGTCAAAAAAAGTTTTTGTTACTCCCTCCCCCCCCCCCACCCTTAGATGGAAATCGTTGGACCACGCCGTATTATTCTTATGCTTTAATATCTTAATTCATTTGGGTAATACCTTGTTTTTATTCAACGAAGAAATTTCTTTAGAGGAAACGTTTCCTTTTTCTAAACCTTTATAATCTGGTTGTATAGTGTTCATACTAGTATTTTTCATTATTTTTTGATACGAGCACAGACTTACGATATTTTGATGGGTGTTCGTAACATGAGTAAGTGATTCAGCTATTACTTTTTTCTATGAAAATATAATCCGCCTGGTAGACTGACTATGTTATGTGGTGACATACTCAATACCAGTTACTTCCATCCCTCTTTTACCTTTTTCCTCATTTCTGTGTACCTTCCACTATAGCTACTGCACCGTGCGGTAAAAGCGGGTTCAGATTTTTATTTCTTTTTCTAGGTAGGCTTTGAGCTGCAATCCAATCTCATCTACAATGCAAATAAATTGTCACTTCAGTTCCATCACTTCGTTGTCATCTAGAAATTCGACTTGCTTTCTGAAAGAATTTCTTTCTTTTTGCCTCGTAAGGAAAACGAAAAGCGCGGAAATTCATATCGGGAGTCAGAAAAACTGACGTTGTATTTGCGCACGAATATATGTGGATAAACTTAGATATTGCCTTTGCATACGAAGACAAATGAGATTATCTTCTCTGAAGTGATGAGATGCTCCCTTAATAAAATTTTCTGAAATTTGCTTCACTTTCTTGATGTTCATAAAATAAAGGCAGCTGTATAGTAATGGTAGAAACTCTGGGCTGTCAAGTTGACCGAAAATGGCAAACTTGCCACGCATGAATTTGGGGAATTTTAGACAGTATTTTCTACCAAAACATGAAAATGTAAAGCCAATAGAAGAATGTACCAGTTCAAAATAAAGTTAAAAAATACTATCAAAAAATGTCATTAAAAGCTGTTTGTTTAGATCAGGCGCCAGACCTTCTCTGAGAACAGTAGACAACAATCTGGATTGTAGTCAAGTCAAAATTAAACTTTACAATTTTTATAGGTTCTCAGATTATTTCCTACTACAAAGAACATCAGGGTTTTTATATTTGAGCACATGATCATCAGGGTTTTTATATTTGAGCACATAAAAGTTCAATCTTTTGCTAGTACATAAATTACAAACTTCCACATGAGATTTAACACAAGTAGTTGAATAAGAAGATTAAAAGCTAGTAAGTTTTTAGGAAATAAAGACACCTTTACCTTATTATAAAAACCCAGCTCTCATGACTTTATATATGTTTTTCTCTCTATGCGCTTCAGTTTTCCTCATTCTTTTTGTGTTCTTCATTGAGTTTGGGGATTCAGTTCTAATTTCTGACATTTTGAGCTAGATTTTCTAGAAATGGCATTACTCTCATGATTTTGCAAGCAGCTTTATTCTGCATACGGCTCGCGCTCCTCCTCCACGGGGCTCATCGAGTTTGATTGTCTACTGCCAGATAACATGTTGTTTTGATTTCCGGAGCCTAGCACGGCTCTCTCGCCCAACGCTTTCGATATCAAAATGCGGGTCACGTTTATTGTCTATGTTCGAAAAACCCCTTTAAATTCTGCTGATTATCACGCTATTTAACTATTTTTGAAGCTCAGTAGACGCCTTATATGGCTAATTTTGCAGCCAGCTCAGTAATTCGTCACTTCCTCTTTTCTCAAGTGTGCGAAAATTCCTTCGATTCAATTCCATTATGCTTTGGATGTTCTTTGTCACTTGCCTTCATGTTTCCGCTTGTGCCGACGTTGCACTTGCCATTTCCAACAATTTCACCCTCTCCTCTCGCGTAAAAAATGTCTGATTTCAGGCCATGGACCCGAACGGGTCTTGGTCACCGGTCGTACCCAACGACACATCATGGCCGAGCGCTCGACCACCGGTCAAACATGCCGGACTTCTGCTGATCCTCATCCCGATGATAACCATACTCGGAAATTTGCTCGTCATCATATCCGTGCTACGATACCGGGCCCTACAAACTGCGATAAATTTTCTTATTCTTGGCCTTGCTGTTGCCGATCTTCTAGTCGCACTATTCGTCATGCCATACGCGGTTTATGTACATGTGAGTTATTTTTCTTCATCAAGTTCTCAGCTTGACCTTACTTTGTAATCAGGAGATCCCAAATTTTGAGCTGTTAACACTAATAGAATACCAGAGAGCTCTTTTTACATTGCTAAAAAAACATTTGCTACTTCGATAATCGCGAATGTCCACGGATGAGCTTAATCTTACCTATTAGAGCATGATGCTGCGGAATTCCAGTATCTCATTTTATTTCAAAAATATTTTGATAAAATTCGCGATACTTAAAAAGTAGATTTTGTTTTTCCTACTTGCTATACGATTCCTTCCTAAACTCTGTGTGATTTGAAAGAGGCTTAGAATTACACCTGAAAAGATCTAGATCTGTAGCTTTTCTTGCTTCAATTCATCATATTGAGGTCAAATTTGAAGGAAGAAGTAATACTTTTTTTATTGAAATTTTTTTGAGCTTCACTTTTTTATAGGAAGCAAAAATTGAGTCATTTCACAAAAACTTTGCTTAAAAGTAAAAGTCTTTAGTGGCATGTTGTTTGCTAGAATACCTGTAAATAACTAACTTATTTTTCTCTGCTTGCGAGGTTAGAAATAGGTCGTGCCCTAACCAACCCCGCACAATTATGTTCTTCATATTCGTAAAAAATCGTCAAGCAATTTTTCAAGCTTGGAACCTCGTTCCTAGTGAGCTGAAACCAGAACTAAAAATTTACGTTCCTGCATATCTGAAGAATTACGAATCTAACATGATCTTGGTCCAGATGGACAAGACAACATCGAAAAAATGGGCACGAGTAGATTAGCTTCGACTGCTAATGAACTATAAACGGTTTAAAGATGTCAGTCAGGAATCAGCAAGCGTTGTAATCCATTCAAAAAACGGCACGTGATAGATGTTTTCTGAATCGTATCTGTTATATTAGGAAACAAAGAAACTAGCTGCAGTCCTAACATAGTTTGAGCTTGCAAAAATTGAAAGTGCAGCGAGTAGAAAAGGAAAACCCAAAATGCACTAAAAACTCAAGCTACCGTGGCATTCACTATTTAGTACTTTACATCAGGGAAACCTTCATATCCCCCTGTCTGTCAAACATGCCCAATTTATCTTGTTTTGGCAGTCTCTGTCTACAAATATCCAATATGTCAAATGCCAACAAAATAAGAGCTTGAAACCAGTAAACACAGCTAATCGAGAATGAAATCATGCATGTGTTTCGAAAAACAGAACAACTGCTATGGAAAAAATAAACGGCTATATTGAAGAGCGATCACGTATACTTGCATATGATCGGAAGCTAAAACTGACTTATATTTTTACTGAAAGAAGTAATGTAGGGTACACGCAAGTTTTTGGAATTGGTAGCAGGGATCGGCACGAGGTGGCTTTCCAAAAATGCAAAAAAACGAAGTCCCCCTGACTTTCACAAAGCTTTACGGATATCCTTTGACCTTTACCGAAATATCCGAATCGACTAAAAAACGTAACATCGACTAGAAAAGAACCCTCTAATTTTGGACCCACAAAAACAATATCCCCTTTGCTTTTTGTCCCAAGAACGATATCCAGCTTGCTTATAAGCCACTTGTGCTGAGCCCTGATTGGTAAATGTCGACCTTCCAGGTAATTTACAGTCAAATCAAAAACAAAATTTTTAAAGGTAAATTCAAGTCGAAGGCTTTCAAAATCTTCAAATTCATTTTTTATTGGACGTTCGGCAACAATAGTAATCTAGCTCTAAAGTCTATCACTGTAATCTACCAAGATCTCATTTCTCTCCCGCATGTATTATAGTTTCGAATATGAATTATTTGATCTAATAAATTCTTTTCAAGTTTCAGAAATCATCTGAAAGTCATTCTACCTAAGGTGCCAAACGAATTATGCTAGGCTAAATAATCCTTTTCCTCATCTTGTGAATTTGAATCAGTTATTTTGCGCAGATCTCTTGAAAGGCAAAATTTGTGATTCTACGCACAATTTTTTGCTCCAACTCTCCGAAGTCTATAAAGTGATAAGCCGTCCTCTGTTTTTTATATGTAAGAAAATATGTTTTCCAATAGTCACAAGGAGGATCTAAAGGCTAATCCAGTTCATTAAACAGCTATCAAGTAAAAAATTCCAATGCGCTTAGAAAATCTTTTCGAATGGCTTGTCATTTCAAAAAGCTTTACTATGCAAAAAAATCTACTTTTTATATTCTGAAAACCTATTCAACACTTCCACTCCTTGAGAAAACATTCTTCTTTCTTGTCTTCAACACAACAATTTTTTGCAGCTGTTCTTGCATTATGGAAATCACATGGGTTTGCGCCTTACTTTTTCTAGCCATTTTGAACGAAATTGAATTGGTGAAAAGATCTGCTTGCGTTGTACTTGATAGGTCGTTGTTTTGCGGATAGAACATCTGTCAAGAGCGTGTCGAGGCAAATTGCTTTCACTCATATGAAAAATACCCAGCTTTGTTGATATAGGGGATTTTATAGGGCAAGCTCGACTGCAGCGATCGCATAAAAAACAACGATCTGAAAATTACCCTAGAAGGACCAGAACGATTGTAGATAATTTGAAAGATTTTTAAAATGTAAAAGCAGCAAAAATCACTCCAAGCTTCTTTGAGCCAGGAAAAACTCAGTTATGATTATGTTAGATGAAAAGAAGCAAAACCAAAATAACGTGTCTCATGAGATATTTTTATTTTGCAAAATTCTGTTGTTTCCAGGTGCAGCGAGGAGAATGGTACTTAGGAAACCTGATGTGTGATATTTACATGGCATCGGATGTCGCGTGTAGTACGGCATCCATCCTACTCCTTGCTATTATTAGTTTTGATAGGTACGGTACATCCGCTTGCAAGGAACGTATCGTCTACAGTATCTTTGTCCAATCAGGTATCGAGCTGTAAGCCATCCAATACAGTACTCCCGCCAGTCCCAGAACGTTCGACGAGTTTTCGCGATGATCTGTGCCACATGGGTGATATCACTACTGGTCGCTAGCCCTATGGTGTTTGGTAAGTAGTTAATTAATGTGACCAAACTGCAAAAAAAATTCTGAGGGGCACAAAGAATTCCAAAAAGCACAAGGAGGAGGGGGGAGGGGCTTTTGTAATTTCAGACGTTTGTTTGAATTAGGTTATAGATCAGTGATATACAGCATTTTATCCACATACCCGCCTCTAATTTTTGAAATCTTCGAAGTCCTAGCTCTAATTTAAGCCTTGATTGAAAGTGAAAAATGAAAAATCATGCATTCCGTGACTTTCCACTTCCACTTCCTCATTTAGGCGTGAATGTTCGACCGCCAGACGCAAATCCACACGAATGTCGTTTTTACAATGCCGAATTCTCCATTGGCTCTTCAATCATCTCATTTGTGATTCCGTGCATTTTGGTGCTTTTCGTCTACATCCGAATTCTCATTGCGTTGAAGAAACGCGAAAAGGCCGCAAAAATGCGTCGACTGAAAAACCTTGCAGCCGGTGCGAGGTAAGGAACAAGTTGTTGTAGTAAGGGTTGTGAAAGTTACAAAAAAGGAAAAACGTTTATAGGATAAACTGTGCAAAGCTCAAGTTGTAGCTCTGTCACTTTTTTGAATAGAAAATTCTAATTCCTTCTTGGGATAAGATTCGCTGAATTTGCTCTTTTTTTCATTTTTTTTTTCACGTCGTGACAGAAGTACCAAGACGTGTTCTGAATTTCCTTTTTTCTCCTCACAAAGAATAAGGAATATTGGCGAACTCGTGGATTTCTTGGTTTTTTCTCAAAGTAAGGAATTGTCAGTATGTTCTTCAAACTTCTTTTTCATACGCAGTAAAGAGACCTTCACCATTGGGACCATCATAATCCATGCAACGAAATTTCGCTTCTCGCCTTTTGATCTTACATTAGACAGCATTTCAGCTCAACAACTCGAACGGGAAGTAGCGAAGATGGAGACGAAGCGGGTCAAATTGTCACCGGGCCAGGTAAATTCAACCTCTAACAATTCTCTCTCTTTTTACTAACCATTCCTTTCCTCGATTTGCCCACACACTTACCTTCCCTATCAGCACAACGTCTACCCTATTATTCTAACCGCCTTCCCGTGTCTCGATTACATTCCACAGTGTTCTTCTCCAATAACAGTGTGCTTATCCTGGGCTTTTTCCCGCTTTTGTCTTCCCAATGTTTTGATGTTTACCTGCAACATGGCCGTTTTACGTGCTGCTATCCCAAGAGTGTTTTATTTGCAGTGGATTTGAAGGTACTTTCCCAGTCAGCCGAGGTTGTCCTAATTACCCTGATCCATTCCCATAGATAGAAGTGCAAGATTCAGTTCTCGCAAGTGCAAAAATTTCATACGAAGTAATTCTGCTAGAAAACAAGTTTTGTAACTTTTTTTACATGAACTGATTCTTGCTGATATCAGTCCTTTTGACCTGTTTCATTGTTACTCTACCATTTTATGATTTTACATCTGCAAGCTGTTTTTTTTATTCGAAAGCACGATACTAACCGAATGAGCTTTCATATCATCCAGTAGCATAGCTATAGTTAGATATGACCTTTTCCTTTTATAGAAATGACCTTCTGCTTTTATTTAAATTGCAGCTTCAGAAAAGGTGAGACAACTTGGCTCAATTCAACCCTTTCATTTTCATGTTTTACTTTCCCCGTTGATTTTTGCGGAGGATCCAAGGGTTGTACTCTTTTGCTAAGTGCACAATAAGAAGAAAATGATTTATAGTCTTTCACAACTAGATAGCAGGGGAATGATAAATTCATAGCCAATTAGTCATATCAAAGGGCGGACGCGCTAGCTGCAACTACTGCCGCGACTTTCTTTGATGCCTCTGAGTTGTAAAATGAAACAAATCGTAAAGCTGCCTCTGAAAAATGAGAAAGACACTTCCAGAAACAATTACAAGCATACTCGCCGAATTCTTGTAATCTATCCATGTCTATGACCCAACATCTTTGAACAGCGACCTTCGAATTCATTCTGACTAAGCAGCAGCAAGTTTCTTGCACCGTTCAAAAACCTTCATACGGTAGGGCTTGTGGCTCTGTTTACTTCCAGTGATTTCCAACGCGCAATATATATATGTGCCCTTTGATTCAGCTGGCTTGGCGGCTGAAAGGCGGGGCATCGTCCTAATTAAGGTTAGATAATGATCAGAGGGCAAGGGCGCGAGAGAGAGCAGACGTCGCGGATGCGAGCGGCTTCAATTGGGTCACAAAGCCCCGCCTTCCAGCCGCCAAGCCAGTTGAATAAAAGTTATATAACCTCCCAAATATCTATCGAACTATATCTTTTTTTGATTTTAATCTTGGGCAATAAAATGAGCCACTTGAGCTCGGCTGACTGGAAAAGATGTGTGAGCACGTAGCCCCCATGTGGGGACCGTGGGAACGTGACCAGGGTGTGTGCTGCTTTCAGTGATGAACGTGATGATGATGGCGCTTCCGTCGATGACGCAGCACATGCGGCGGTTCGAGCGGCACCGCGAGGCGCTCGAGGCGGCAGGTGAAGACGACGACGAGTCGACGACGGCGGCGGCCGGCGTGGTGGCGCCGCCAGCCGCCGCGCTCCTGCTCTCCTTGCTCGCTCCCAGAACTAGCTTCTCTCTACGTACGTGCTTCCACCTGCTGCTCGCCACCTGCACTTTGCATGGCACCCGCACCCGCCCGGCTGACCACCCGCCCGCGTCAGCCGGCGCTGGGCTTCCTTTCACTGTTTCTAACAGCATGTCTCTACCTCTGTTGCATGTCTCGCATGAATATTAGATCCATGTGCCGTGTGTGAGTGTCACCAAGTGTAGTAGCACAAGATTAAATGGGCTGCGGCCAGCACAGCCGCATCAATCTCAATTCCTAGTCGTTGAAGCGCTATGCTATTCGTCAACGCCACTTGCGCCACCAACGAATTGTTTTCTCTTTTTTCCGAATGAGCCGAGTTAGTTGTTTATTCAGCAGTCACTAGCAGGGACGCTAGTAACTCCAGAAATGCAAATAGGTATCAGATCTGGGTAACGAGTCGTTATAGAGTAGGGAGTACTACAAAAATGGGGAAGCTCTCATTTTCTCAGACACGCTGATGAAAAAAAATTGTTATCTTAAGAGTAGCAGTGACGAAATTATTCTTCACAGACTAAGAATGGCATGGGTTAGTGTAGGACTTCCAATCATAAAGTTTCTAAGCCTCTTATCACATTGCCTTGGGTGACAACAGTGAAGTGAAGTTTTTCAACTAGCAATAAACCTACATCGAAGTTTTTCCATTCACAAGTTCTTTGGGAGTTGATTGAAGTTCGAAGGAGAATCTGTCGAGAGGGCTTCTGCGCCACAGTCTTTTGCTTACACTTAAAAAGAACTAAGCAGTAGAGAATCCGTTCTCATAGACCAACTTCAAAAGCTATATTTAGGAAGAGAAATCAATCATTCGCACAATTTTTTACATAAGTTTCGCATGTATTAGACCTTTATTACAACCAGGCGACATTTATTTTCTGCACTTTTTCACAAATTTTTTTTATTTCTGCAAATTCGTTTGGTGATAATGTGGTGACGTGGTAGATATTTCAGTAATCTTCATTACATATAGAATTGCTTAGTTTTTCAGAAGAGAATGAGTGTAACGTCTCAAACACTCCGCACTCAAGCATGGACTCACTTTCTGACGCTCCTAATGTTGTCGCGAATGACTTCGTTTCCGAAGGATTTTCGAGGTAAAACCATTTCTCTTTTTATTAGTTATCTAAAGAGAACGTTACTGAGCGGAAACAAAGAGAGATGAAATTACTATTTGTGATGAAATAAAACTCACCAAATTGTGCATACAGTACATATATACGGTATGCACAATTTGGCAACAGGCAGAAACATCTTGTAGGGAGTATTTTCAGATAAATCTTCTTTTAAGTGATGTCAGTAAAAAAAGGCAAAGAAATAGCGCAATGCTTTACAGAAAACATTGAGCAACTATACCGTTAGATTTGACTGAGTGTTTATACTCCAGGAAGTTTTCAAATGGTGAGAATAGTCAAGCTACCTCATCACGCTCATCTGATGAAACTCGATCGTCTTTCAAGTCAAAAGCAAAGTAAGTTTTCTTCAATTTCCCCTGTTGCTTGGTGCTGTGAATATCCACTTCTCTAGGTTACGGCAGTCCTTCCGATTCCGCAAAAATCTGACAGCGCCATCGGATGCAGAGTAAGGCTTTTTCCATTTTTTTGCGGTTCCTTTGAGATGACCCGATTTTGAAATCTCTCGATATCTTGATCCGAAATTTTGCAGAAATCGTCGCAGCAGTGATGCCATACTTCCTACTATCCTGCGGTCGATTTCGCGACGAAGTCCTAGAATATTTAGGAAAGGAGTTAGCGCGGAAACTGAGACGGTAAATTTCACACTTCAACTGATGATGTATAAAAGTATTAACTATGTGATAATCTTCTATGTTTTTAGATGATCTTAGCGAATCCGCTTGTAGACTGTACATCTAATGAGACAAAGATGAAGGCTGAAAAGATGACGTCCTGTCAAACAGAAAGCGAAACCATTTCACCGCTAATGCAAGATGTCGTTCCCGTTCCGTTTAGTCGAAGTACTACTGCAAACAGTAAGTCTTTGTAATGTAAAAAATATTTATCACGAACTCATAAAGAAGCATGAAATTTTTGCCAATCTGGAAAATGGTGACCAGCTCAAAAAAACAGAGCAAGTATTTGTATTGTGGAAGGAGAGAGGGGCGGGATCAACCCATGTATCTATTGTATCAATCTACAGAGCTCAAAGCTGTGACTTTATTTCCGAAAACTGAGTAAGCGAAATTATCTATTGAAAATAATCAATAAAATAATTTGTGAATTACTGAACCACTGTGTAAAGTTCGCTGCTTCCGCCTACCATTTTGACTGAAACGTTTACGATAATCAAAAAATCACACCTTCACACATAAGTGCTAAAACCTTTGCTGATTTATAAGGCGTAGGTCGTATGGTAGCGATTTAATCCCCCCCCCCCTTGATTTAATGCCCCATTCTCAAAACGAATACAATATTTTACTCGATAGAGAAAAAGCATTCTAGAAGTGCAGCAACTCTAGTACTGTAGAAAAGGACAGAAAAATGGATTTGACAAAAAATATAAGCACATAATTCTGATTATGCGAGGGTCTTCTTTTCTAAAGAGCTCTCTTTTTTTAGAAGAATTCACAAACATTGGAATTAATTCTAGTTTCTAACCAAAAGATCCGATATCTCAAATGTTTCTAGGTGGTGAACTTATAGCTACAGAAGATTGTACAGCAATAACGTATGCGAACACTGCTGTGGACACTCCAACAGATTCACAAGTACAAATTATTCTTATTCGCTCAGATTACTCACTGATCAAATGAGGAGTTTTAGCATACGGTCAAATTCGCTTTATCAGTCCAAGAAATAAAGGAATTGACAAAGAAAAATAGCGAAGTGAAACCAAACACGAATCCACAACCGACAAAAGAAGAGAGGACTTCATCCGGACGACTTGTTGCCGCTCCTAAGACGTCTTTGCCCGGTTAGTAAGGCATTAAAGAAAATTATCTACTTTACACTTTCTAAATTTGATCAACTATCCTAATTTCACGCGTACGAGGCGCAGGGGATTTTTTTCCGAAATCGACCAGCCCAAATACGTCAAGAAACTTCGCAACCAAAGGACCCTATGCCTTGCTGTATATTGGTCAAGAGAATCGTACGGCATAAGGATCGCTTTCCGAAATAATTTAAAGCGGCTGAGGGGCTTACTCGAAAAATCGAAAAAGGTGCGCCTTATACGCGTGAAATTAGGGTACTAATGTTGATGGGCTTGTCCACCCTATATTCTGGACAGTAAAAAATTTGGTGGAAATCTCTCCATATTTGAGTGGTAGCCAATCTATTTTCTATCATTTCAATGAACGAAACTCTAGCTTAGAACCTGAACAAATTTCTTGACTGATCAGCATTGTTACCAAAATTCTCACTGTTACTTTCAGAAGAAAAGGAAAAAGAAGCAAAGGAAGTAAAGGAAAAAGAGGACTCGGATAGTTCGCAGAAAAAATCCCGATCATCACTCAAGTCAACTGACTCCCAAGCTTTCAAAAATCTTCGAAATGGGATAGCGAGTAAGATTGCCAAGAAGACGCTGAAGCACGAGCAAAGCTTGAAACGAAAGGTAGTAAAGACGTTTAGAAGCAATTGATTTGCAACAAAGAAATTCTCTCTAGGTGTCGAAGTCGCAGAGGAAAGAAAAGAGAGCCACAAAAACTCTCGGGGTTGTTGTCGGAGTTTTTCTCATCTGCTGGGTTCCATTTTTCTTCATCAACATTGTCAATGCTGTTTGCGTCCTGCTGAACAAAGATTTTTGCCAGGTGAGGATCGGTTCGTAATCTCATAATAAAACATATTTTTTTAACAAGCAACCAACACTTGAACTCAAAAATTTATTATATATATTTGTTATTTTCTGAACACTCAAAAAACAAACGTTTTAGTTTTGACGATTATCTGTATACCATAGGAGTACCATACCATTGAGTTTTTAACCTCATGGTGGCCCTTAGCGCTATGTTCCAAGCAAATCTGACAATTGTGATATTGCGATTAAGATAACTCAGTAGTCCTAACCAAGCGATTGTCCAAGCAACATTTTATACGATTCTGGCCGAGGTCAACCTTTCGTCGATACCGTGCTCCTTTTAAGTGGAACAGTCAGCTTCTTCACTCTTCGGATGCGGTAATGGGCGTGAATTTGGCATTGAAATTATGGCATGAGCGCCACTTAGCTCCTTTCAAGTTCCATTACCTCAAAAAACTCTTTTGTTCTTGAGCAATATCACTTGCCCATTAAATTTTGAATTTTGGAATATTTTTTTTGCAAAAGTCTTCTGTTGCCAATGACATAATAGATCTCGACCAAGCAGCATTGTGACAAAATCATAAAAGGTGTTACTTTAGGTCGGGTTCGACCTCTTCTTCTACTGCACTTGGATAGGCTACATGAACTCCTTCATGAACCCGATCATCTACACCATCTTCAACACCGAATTTCGTCGCGCTTTCAAGGCGATTCTCTTCGGCAAGCCGGGCCATGGCTTCCACAAACAAGTCCACGTCTAACTTTCGCCATCGTTTCCCCATCCCACACGAATTCTGCACACATTGCTAATTTCGCCTGATCCTTTCGTCTGTGCTTTTTTTTACACAATAAGCCAAATTTCATCGCTTGCTATCATTTTCACGGGTATATTTTAGTATGCAAATATTATTCAACGGGTTTATAGATCTCACCGAGCGCCAATGTTCAGCATTTATCATTGATTTGTATCATCGCAAGTTGTGATTTTCAATAAAATTAGAGTCTCAAACAATATTCCTCAACAAATCGAGTTACCAAACAGCTTAAAAGTTGAATTATTTTTTTTGCAAAAGGACAAGAACACCAATGGCGGACCGAGGCGTACTGAAACTTAGGCTGGGTTCATACTGACCCGGAAGGTCCGGAATAGTTCCGGCACAGTTCTCGCAGTGTGCTGGAACTGTTCCGGAAGTGTGCTGTAAGCGCTGCAGCCACCCGCGTGCGGTTGTAAGCGGCGCAAAGTAGCAATTTTTGATTTCCTTCAACGGTTTTCATAATATTAGGTTGTCGGATAAATTCTGTTACACTTTTTATTTTAATTCTTAAAGATCTCAGAAGCTTTGAAAAGATCTCATGTTCACGGTTTATGGACAGGGTCAAAAGGCCTATTTAAGGGTACCGTCGCATCCGCGATCCATGCGCAAAACACTCACTTTGTGACTAAAAATCCGTTTCTTCCCATTTTTAAAAATGAGCTGGCGTTCTCTCAGATGATGAGCGATAGAGCGGACAATGTGTTAATCAGGTAGGGCATAGTCTGTAGCGTTTAGCTAATATGGGGGATAACGCAGACATGTCTGCACACGTTTTTCTGAGCGGTTCAAATCTCAGTGTGTGCCATCCTTACAATCATCGGAATTTTTACGGAGAAAACGTCTTCAAAAAACTTCCAAAAATCATTTTTATGTTTTCTGTATTCATTTCTATACGATGCACATAAAAAGAAGAATTTAGGAAAGTTTTTGCATTTTTTTGATATTTTTTTCACCCCTCGTTTTTGAAACGCTAAAAGCACCGCAATGCCTCCATGTAAGAGACAATGCCAAAATACGTTTTAAAAAAATTCTAGAGAGGGAAAGGGCAAGTAGGTGCAGAGAAAAAGATCAGACAAAAACTGAAAAATTTGACTGCTCTTACAAAAGTGCCGTAAACTTGTTGGTCATTAGTGCACTTGCGGAATCAATCATGCTGGTGGGTAGACCCTGCTATGCCCTAAGCATGTTGCAGATTTGGGGTTTTCAGAAAGCTTCTGAAATTTTCTAGAAATTTTAGAAAAAAGTGTAACAGAAATTATCCGACAACCTAATACATTTTGCTCATTTTCGTATCACTCTCGCTTCCTCTCGCGATGAGAAAAGTTCCAAGCATGGAGGGGTACAAGAATGAGCATTATTCCATTATGTACATCAGGCTGAAAACTGTTACAAACTGACACCGCTTCCATCCTTGTACATTTCTCATCTCTCCAAGCTTGGAGTTCCTTCATCAAAAACAGAGAGGCTGAAACACCCAGGAAACAAAGGGGGAATTTTTTTAATAATTTTTCAATTTTTTCTCATCACAAAATGAGAAAAAATCGCGTCTGCAATTTTGAGATAGCATCAGTCCTTCCTGAAGACAGCCGTGATATCGAGGACGCACCGACACTCTGAAATGCACAAAGAATGTTTTACCGGAAATTAAGGGATGCGCGAAAAAAATTTTCACGCACGACAAAATTTGAAAAAGCTTCATTCTTGAGCTTGCTTCGATTTTGGAATTCTCTTCTTCACAAGAAAAAGCAAGGTGCAAGAATAAGACGAAAACGGGCAAGATATATAATCAAAAACCGTTCAAGAAAGTCAAAAATTGCTGATTCGCGCCGCTCAAAACCTCATGCGGGGGGCTGCAGCGAATGCAGCACAGTCATAAAAAGTTTCAGCATTGCGCGAGAACTGCGCTGGAACTGTTCTGAAGCTTGCGGACCAGTACGAACCCAACCTTACAAGCATAAAAGTGTTCAAATGACTTGTTTATACCAGTAAATAATACCTTTGAAGATTTCTGAAAATCCAAATAAGCCCTGTCCCGCAATGGTCGCACAGTCGAAACTATTTGTTTATGCGCAAATTTTAGCGCATTTCACCTTCTGTGCAAGCACACTATATTGAGCGGAAATCTACTCACTGTAACTAGGGTCATGAAAAAACAAAAAAAACCTAGTCGAAAGAAGCAGAGTTCATATCAACAGAAAATCAATTTGAAGGCTAATGCACTCCATTAGGTATTTTTTGAAGGCTCGCGTAGCACTAAACTGAAGTTTTGAGTTGGTGACAGGCGGAGAAATCGCGCCTCTTGACCGTCTCCCACATTGGTATAGTGGTTGCTATAATCAAAGTATGCACAAATTTTCATCACCAATGATTATGATAACGGATTCTATGAGAAAAAAATGTTCTCGTGGTGTTTTAGCCGCAATGCTAGCTTATTTGCAAGAGCTCTACTCAGCAATTTTTTTTTTGATGTCAAGCTTGCTTCTGCCAAAATTGCAGATCATTATGTCCACAATATTTCTGCATTTGTTTATTTTCAAAAATGAAGGTTCTCAGCAATGTGTGACCCTCTGCTACATGAGAAGGTTTTGCAGATGATTTGCGCGCAGTTAGCGTTATTTTAATTTGGCGACGACATAAACGCAAACTACGAAGCGCAGCTTTCTCTGTTCAAAGACACCCTTCAAAAACCTTCAATTTGGGTCATTGGTGAAGTACAAACTATCCCCCCTTCAAAAACTAATACCATGCAAACAGATTGAGAATGGAAAGTTGCATATAGTACAAGATATTTGCACCACAGTAATGTATTAGGTTGTCTCAAAAGTAAACTCCACTTTCAAATAACAAAAGTTCTTTTGTTTTCCTAATAGATATGGGGTACCATTCAATAGTGCGGAGCAGGGCCTGGCACCGCTGGCACGGCAAGCTGGATGTCGTTTTTGGGACAAAAAGCAAATGGATATCGTTTTATCGACAAATTGCGACGTTTTTTAGTCGATGTTTCGTTTTTTGGGGTTTTTTTTTAGGTTTCGGGTTTTGGGTCAAGTGGACTTCGTTTCGAAAATTCCCTGGTGCGGAGCAAGCTCTACAGAAAGAAAGATCCATCTGGCTCGTAACCAGGGTCAAGCTTGGGGTGCGGCACGCCACACCTGGGGGGGGTCGTATTGAGGACTCAAAAGGGGAGGGGGTCGTAATTGTGTAATCTGATGATAGTGATAACATGATATTCGTATCCTATCCATAATTAGCATGTCAAATAACCCCTGTAGACAGAGTGTGAGCGAATTCTGAAGATTCAAGATACTAGGCTACCTAAGTGAAATGGTCAAGTTCCAACATGGTTAACTTTGTTTCAAAGGTGAATTAGCTATCCGTTTTTGCACTCAAGACAAAGCACTACTCCTTCTTTGTCCACCTCAGGAATCCCGCTTCACAAGACCTCCAAACTGTGGAATTAGAAGCCAACTAAAATCTCGTTTCTCCCATTTTCGGTTTGCATCGCTTTGCTTTCGCCAAATATTACTCAGAGCAAAGAAAACGAATCAGGCTCAAATCACTCCTGTGAAAACTAGGATATCTAGGCTATCGATCCATATATACAAGGTTTGCTAAAAATGTTTTTTTTATATCGTTAATGGGGTGCGGCACACCCCCTTAAAAGCTGCGGCGGCCGCAGCTTTTAAGGGGGTGTGCCGCACCCCATTAACGATATAAAAAAAACATTTTTAGCAAACCTTGTATATATGGATCGATAGCCTAGATATCCTAGTTTTCACAGGAGTGATTTGAGCCTGATTCGTTTTCTCTGCTCTGAGTAATATTTGGCGAAAGCAAAGCGATGCAAACCGAAAATGGGAAAAACGAGATTTTAGTTGGCTTCTAATTCCACAGTTTGGAGGTTTTCTGAAGAGGGATTCCTGAGGTGGACAAAGAAGGAGTAGTGCTTTGTCTTGAGTGCAAAAACGGATAGCTAATTCACCTTTGAAACAAAGTTAACCATGTTGGAACTTGACCATTTCACTTAGGTAGCCTAGTACAGTGCTGGCCAAAACTATAGATCCACTATAAAAAAAATGTCGTAGTTCACCTGCTTCTCAACGAATTGATCTGAGATTTGGTACAGTTGTGTGTTCAACAGGCTTTCATCAGTGACCGGAGCGGATTCCGTTTTCGCCAGATTATTCAGGAAAAAAATCAAAAATTTCGAAAAAAGCAGGCTCGAAGGCTGGCCAAAACTATAGATCCACCTAAAATTTCTGTCTGCTAACGTGATTCTTAGCTTCCAAAATCTTTTGTGCATACACATAGTCGAAAGTCAAAGCAGTGGCTTTAGTTCAGCTGCGTCATACCTTTATAAGAAACGCTTATCTGCTTTTTTCCTCTTAAAAACTGCTTTCATGCGTATTTTGTTCCCGAGAATGTGTTTTTGTAGAGGATTCCGCACTTTTTTGACTGGTTTGAAAGTGATAGGGCTCCATCTATCTTATAGATGCTTAGTAGCGTGGGCAGCAGAAAAAAATTCGGGTTTTCGTATCTAAAGCGCACCTGACATAGACCTAACCGCAAACCTGCGTTCAAATTTATGCCTTCAAGCTCTTTCTGCAACGTTGTCATGAGCGTGAACTGGAGTAGTTACATTGTTGGTATGTATGAGAGTCCGTATGCAGTGGTTGCAGGTTTCTGCAGATCCTAGTATGCAGGCTAATTGAGAACTTCATCCCTCAAAAAGTGATTTGCAACAAGCCTTGAAGTTATTTCTGCTTCTGACCATAATGCTCATGTGAATCACAAGGCAACATATATTGCAGGGTGTATTCAATAGTTAGCAGCTAAAAAGTGGCAAAATTCAAAGAAGGTACCAGTTGGTAAGTACTTTGAGATTGCCGAACACACCGCAAGACTTGTGCTTTGAAAAAGAATTAAAGTGCGACTTCGCAAGCAATCGTAACTATAGTTTACAAACTTCTTTTTAGGTAAATAATGCTAAATAATGCTTCTACATTATTTTGAGCTTATAAAAATAGCGGATACCAATTTTGAAGGCAAAAATTCGAGCGCAGGCCTACGGTTATGTCCGTGTCAGGTGCGCTTTGGATACGAAAAACCGAATTTTTTTCTACTGCTCACGCTGCTAAGCATCTATAAGATAGATGGAGCCCTATCACTTTCAAACCAGTCAAAAAAGTGCGGAATCCTCTACAAAAACACATTCTCGGGAACAAAATACGCATGAGAGCAGTTTTTGAGTGGAAAAAAGCAGATAAGCGTTTCTTATAAAGGTATGACGCAGCTGAACTAAACCCACTGCTTTGACTTTCGACTAGGTTTATGCACAAAAGATTTTGGAAGCTAAGAATTACGTTAGCAGGCAGAAATGTTAGGTGGATCTATAGTTTTGGCCAACTTTCGAGCCTGCTTTTTTCGAAATTTTTAATTTTTTTCCTGAATAATCTACCGAAAGCGGAATCCACTCCGGTCACTGATGAATGCCTGTAGAACACACAACTGTACCAAATCTCAGATCAATTCGTTGAGAAGCAGATGAACTACGGCACTTTTTTATAGTGGATCTATAGTTTTGGCCAGCACTGTATCTTGAATCTTCAGAATTCGCTCAAACATTGTCTACAGGGGTTATTCGACATGCTAATTATGGACATGTTGCCCATTATGTTTGACAGGGCCTTCAAGTAATGCTATCTTAAGTGTATAGTTCAGGGGGGGGGGTCGTAACCAGCGATCGTGTGCCACACCCCTTGCTTGACCCTGCTCGTAACCCAAGTATTAGGTTGGCACATAAGTAATGCAACTTCTATATAACTTTCGTCTATTTGAACGTAGCGCATTCATTTTTTGGCAATATAAGGAATATGATGTAAGCTTCTAATGCAGACATTTTTGCCGAATTTTACCATTTTATGTGAGGATTACGGTAGGTTTACGGTACTATGGGAAAAATTTTAGAATGCATCAGATTTTGCTGAAACTTGGCCTATAGGGCTTATGTGACATGCTGGTCACAAAAATGAGATCCGTTTCGCATGAAAAGGCCTCGTTCGTGAGATCAAAAGATGAATTTTATTTTAGCAACAAATGAATATGATATTCGTGTTCACCGCACAGGATTACCCTATAGTGCAAAGTTATAGCGAATTCCGACTTTTCGCAGCCTAGTTATTGACAAATTGCCTTCAAAACTTGACGCATTTGACTTGTTCAACTTCTCAAAGGCGCCCCACTTTAATTTGTGTTTAAATTTCATTTCTTTTTCACTGATTTCAATGTGCCAACTTCCAGCTACATGCTGCCTATAATTGCTTTTTCATATGTTTGAATCAGGTTTCGAGGGCTTCATGTTTGCCAAAAAATCGTGAAATCTCGATTTTCAGCAGTTTTCAAAAAATGCTTAGATTTTTTGTACTACGTTGTCAAAAATCAAACGGTTTGCGCAGACTCGCAGCTTACATCACGATCTACATGATGCCACAAAATGAGATTGCTACATAAAATAGGAAAAAAGTTACGGGAAAAGTTGCAAAACTTATAGGCAGTGTCCCGGCAGATTTTGCACCTCCATCTTTTTGCATGTTTTAGGCCTTTTCGCCACGTAGAATCCGAATTTGAGCTTTGAACGGGCTGAAAAGGCCGATTTTGGGGCGTTTTCCTAATTCCAAAAAAGCAGCTTGGACGAGATTTTTAATGGAAAGTTGGGAGGGGTCCTCAGACGAAGATCCTGCCGCCTGTAATTCTTGCTTTGGATAGCATGCATCATGGGGGAGAGCGCTCGTGAGGTCCCGCGCCGAACAGAAAAGGAAGGCCGTCCAAGCGCGCGCCAGTTGGGGTCGCGCGCGCCGGTTCAAGGGCCATTTTCTCGGCCCAGGGGGAACATCACCCAGCCGGACTGCGCCTGGAGGTCGGTGGGGTGACCAGGAACCCCACCACATGTATATCCCCCAGGACCTGAATCTGCCGGGACACTGCCTTTATGCGCCAACCTAATGAAATATGGAGCCAAAAAATGAAATTTTCAGGTACTCTGAAAATCGAATCTCCTTCCAAAAATTTCCTACGGACTTCCAACTTGGTCTTTATATAGTAGACACATAGTAGTACCAAAAATATAATCGGTGGATTTTTTCCGGGGCTCAATATTGAGGAACAAAGCTGGTCCAAAAATGCCAAAATGCCATGCCACTTATCGGGTTTTTTTATGTAAAACTTGGTATTTCCCGAAAATAAGAGCACATGCAGGTCCCTAGAGTTTTTACAAAAATCAATTTTCAGGTGCCAAATTTCTTCAAATTTTGGCTCCAAACTTTACATGGAATGCGACTTGGGTAGATTTTTGGTAGTCGTTTTGAAGAGCATAATCTGCTCTATCGAATGATACTATAAGTATACTAGGAAAACAAGAACAGCTCGAATAATTTGAAAAAGGAGTTTACTTTTGGGACAAACTAATAGTATTAGCTTTGTCCGAAAGTAACTGTGCTTCTTCGAACAAGACCACATCCTATGAAACAAAGATTTGTCAAAGATATAAGCAGCACAATACAATGCAGATTCGTGCTCAATGGTTGCAGTGTATCTGACGACCTCTCAGAAAACTACCGAAACCTATGATCTATGGTTTTTGTCCGGTAAATCGCTATTAGAATCTTGAATTGACCACCTGAAGAAGACCAAATGAATGCGCAGAACAAATCCTACATGATACAAAACTGCTTTTTCCTGCTTTCTATAGATAACCATATGTTATTTGGTGCTAACAGATTCTTTACACCGTACATGGGACCCCAAACCACATAAAACTTCCGCGAGCAGCCAAGAGTCGCTCGATGCAGCTCTCCTCTATTTCAAAGAGGTTTTTGTTTCTGAATCTAACATTATTCGGCACTAAAATCATCTAACTTCTGTTTTTGAAAGTCCCAGTGCACCCAATAAAGGTATTTTGATTTCGTGAACGCCATTTGCTCTGTAAATTAGTGTTAATTCATGATCCTTTTTGTCACATACAGATTCTGAGATAGTCTTTGACGTGTTTGTGTCTAAAGTAAAGCTCCCAAAAAAATTACTTATTTTTGAAGTTCTATCAAAAAATCGTAGTAAGATTCGGGAGGAACTCTTGCTAAACAACAGCATATGTAATAAGAATTTATCTCGATCGCTACCGAATAGACATACAATTACTGATTAGCTTATTGAGATCTGAAACTGGTGGCAAAACAAAGTCATCCACTGCTCCCGGTCGGCCTACATGAAGACGATCATGCGCAACAAAGCGAGACCTGCTTGGACCCAACACACGAATATGCCTGAAAGCGCGTTAATAAAGACCACACACCTATGTTCTCTTGATAAGAAAACGATCGCATATGTGAAGGCATCGGATCGATGGAAGGTAGTGATGAGGTACAACCCTCAAGATTTCAATCATAGTCAACAGCAAAGTAACATTTTGAAAAACGCCAAAGCTGCCGCCGATTTGTGGCCGAAAAAAATTGCACAGGAGGCAGAAATGCGGGAAAACACTTCGTCAATTTTACTAACCCAAGAAAGGAGAAAACCAAACAGGCACGAAAGTAAAGATTCTGTACGATACTCCGAAGCAATGTGTTCAATTCGTTCAGTACCAATTTGACCGCAAGCTACGCAACCTTTTGTCATTACTCTACTTTATTTTTTGAGTCTATGGTAGGGATGTGACATGGAATAAGCGATATATGACCGCAACAGCCAAGGAAATCTAATCAAAACTTCTCACAAAACTGTTCGATATTCCACTTGAAAATTACGCTCAAAAATTGAGCAAGAGGAATCTCATGAAAAATTGAACCTCTTTCCTTACGTTTTGATAGCAAAATCTCGAGCCTCAAAGTACAATTCTAGACCGGGAGGAAAGAACAACTCTCACTGACCTTATATGAGTATCGCGACCATTTTGATGATTATGCACTACTTGCAACTGTATCACCATCGCTCGCGAAGGTCTATTCGTCCTCCTCGATCGTAAGTCTATCAGCTGAAACATCAGCTGCATCAAAAAAAGGCGGAAAAAGAAGGCTTGCAACTTGGAGAGGGTATTTGGGAAAAAAGCGCAAGTCAGATCACCATTTATATAACAAGATGTAAAATGGAAGCCCTCAACTACGTGAAATATTGATCACCTGCCAGCCTGTAGGTTCGTTGAATTCTACAGGAAGACCATCATCGAGATGAACCAATGACGAACCAAGGTGAACAATTATCCTGGAAAATATCAATAGGATTCAAATTTCATAAGAGACATAGAGTCGCACTTGCTTGGCGTGTAGGATTCATCATTTTTAAAATCCAGATACATCATGACAAAACAAATGTCCGTTTTCCTCGGAAATTCTATCGTGACTGTATGCGGTTGAGGGCCGTCGCTTTGCCAGTACTTGTCAACACTGTCGTGCAAAAGCTCGTGTACGCCATTACCTTCTGCAAATGAAAGGTCGCTTCTCTACAACTTATGGAAACTGATGGACGGAGAGAGGAAGTTTTGACTAAGGCACTGCACATGCGGCAACGCAAGCGATTCATTTACGGCCGAGAGATTTACTCAACGCTCTCACCCAAGCAGAGACCATATAATTTGCGTAGAAGGAGTTTAGAGATGGAAGTTTCGGCCGTAAATAAATCACTGCATTGCCACTGGATAGTGCCTTAGGGCTGCATGCACCAACATCCCCGCTGGGGAGGGGATCGCAGGGCAAAAGAAAGCTTCATATTATGAAGCCCCAAATATGTGGATTTCACGCTGTCTACCTATCCGTAAGTATTCCCACCATCCTTCACTATGAACATATCGAACGGGAGCAAGAAGCTGTACAATCCGAATTTTCCATCTTCTTCTATGATTCTCTTATCTTCCCCAAATGCCGACCGCTTTTTCTTTAAAGTCATTTTTCTTTTCTCGAAGTCAATAAAAACATTCCAGTGTTTTGCTGTTTATCTAACCAAGAGTGCTACACATGTCTCTGGTAAGAACAAGAATGTTTCGAAGTCATGAAATTTGCGACTAAATATAAGTCGAAAGTTGGGGTTCAAATCGATATGCCAAAAACTCATTTGCTCTTACCAGAAACATGATTAGCACTGTTGGATTGGATAATGTACAACTTTGACATGTTTTTATTGACTTCAAAAAAGAAAAAAAAGAAAAATGACTTCAAAGAAAAGGCAGTCGGCAGCTGGGGATCATCAGGGATCATATAAAAAGCTGAAAAATGCGGATTGTACAGCTTCTTGCTCCTGTTCAATGTTCATAGTGAAGGATGGTAAGAATACTTACGGATAGGTGGACAGAGGGGAATCCACATATCTGGAGCTTCAGGATACGAAGCTTTCTTTTAAACTATGCCCCCTCCAGGGAGATGTTAGTGCATGCGGCCCTTAGTCAATCCTCGTCCCCCCCCCCCCCCGCCATCAGCTTTCAGATGAGGAAACTGTATGCACAGATTTGCCTCGACTGTTGTCTTCTCAGGTCTACCCCTGATGTACTCTGTACTCTCTGCGTACCATACCCATATTGATCTTGGTTGTGATGCTTTTGATCATTAACCTTCCAGCAACCAGCAACAATACTTTACCGATGCTAAGGAGACAACTTGCTAGACAAGATCTAGCAAGTTCTTGGAAAAACGCAAATAAATACTCTAACAAGGAAATTGTCAGAAATCGAAGTGGCCTTGCATATCATTAGATGCAGCATAAAACGCTGACTTTAAATCTGTAATCCATATGTGCTTAGCGCCTATGTGGACGAAGTTATGAGCTGTCAAAGGCCAATGTTTTGCTAAGAAATAGTGCATGCAAAGCGCAGATTTGGCAGCATAGAGCCATGTTCGGATTAACGCTGGGCCAAAATATGCAGCTAGGTTACTTTATATTCTTAAAGCCTAAAGGATTGTGAGCTGAAAGTGCAACAGTCCGCTCAATTTCGCAATTCTTATGTGCGATTTTTGCAATAAACTGTTCATAACTTTGTTCGCAAAGGCTCTAAGCAGATATGGATTACAGATTCGAAATCAGCGTTGAATGCTGCATCGAACAGTAGGCAGCTTACCTGAATTGGCTACTCCGACTTCTGACCATTCCCTTGCAAGCACCCAGATACAATGCATTTCTTAAATGGTCCCATATAACAGACCTGACTTACAGCTGGAAACTGTCCATACAGCTTGAAAAGATATGTCGCGCATAGGAAGATCTGCTTCGTGGATATTCTTCGGAAGAGCAACGGGCCAGTCGTAACCGTTCAACGCTGTGACTCTAGCATCCTGATCATCGGTTTCCATCACCTGACATCGTATTTTGAAGATAGCCTTTTGTGTGAGCAGAGCAAATAGAAAGTCAATGATGGAGTAAGAAAAAACGCACCTTGATGGAACTTGAGCAATTTCTCTGACGCAACTGCGGCGCTCTGCGGGATGTTTGCGCCCTACGGCTATATTTACTTCTGGCGTGTAATCCTCAAAGACGCCATCTTCGCATCGGCGGCAAAGAATTTTTTATGATCAGTTCAGTTGATGCAGAACGAGGAGATGGTCGGGAAGAAGGCGAGCATGGCAACGAGCAAGGTGATTCCATTTGGTTGTTTGCATCTTCAGTTCTCTGCATTCACAAGTGTTTGTTCAAGAGTTGCATGAGGAGTATCATGAAGATGACTGCGTTGGCGACAACGGACAATGTGAAGGATTGTATAGGACTATGGAAGGCGAATCGTTGACTGAGCTAGATGTGGCGGATGAAGTTGAGGTGCCGTTGACTTTTTGTGTTGAAAGAAAGAACAGGAGGGCGCTTTTTTGGGCTCCTATAATGAAAATTTGGTAGTAGTTGTAAGGTATCATGCTTGAAAGAAAAACAGGAGAATGCTTTTTTGGGCTGCTATAACGAAAATTGGGTAGTAGATGTAAGGTATCATGCTTAGGTATCTGGCATTTTATTGTTTAGAAAATTGTGCTATTGCGAATGACATTCTAAAAACGAAAGGCGCTATTCCAGTGTACGGAACCCCAAATATGGATAAACCTGGTTTGCTGAAACTTTGTACGGGGTGCTTTATCTGACATGCTATCACAAATATGATATTCATTCGATAGGTAGCGTCTTATTCTGGGCTTGCAGTGGGTGCACGGCACGGGATCAAAGCTTTAGACTTCGCTGGAAGTTCGTGCAAGGTAATTCTTTGACATGCTGATCACTAATTTCCTATCGATATCACATGTTCAGGTCATTTTCTTACCTTACGATGGTACGCAGTAGTTAGGTCGAAACTTCAAATTTGTCAAAACCTCGCTTAATGTTTAAACTTTGTTTTTAGGGATGCTGATGCAAAGATATTTTATTGTTGATCGGTTGTTGATCTGATAACCCCTCCCACAAAGTTTCAAACAGATCTAACCTTTGGTTCAACTGGGTAGTTAGGGGAAGGAGGGGCTGTGTGACCTAATTAAGGCCACTCGCGCCCGCGACGCACCTGCGTCTCTTTCGCGCGAGTGCTCCCTGATTACCTAGTCTTAATTAGGCTACGAAGCCCCGCCTTCCCGAAGCCAAGATAGTTGAATCAAACGGTATATGACTTTGACCGCCTACAGTATACCCACCGTAATTCCGAATCGAATTCCGAGAACACAGAAAGAGTAAGGTGTTTACGTTCGGCATACCAAATAACTCCTAAAGACGAAGTTTGGAGTAGATCCTTGATTTGACCCCATACCATGTATCCACCCTAACTAAAGGACATTACCATGAGAAGTCAGTGATATTTGTGAACGACAAATAACCCTCTGCACGAAGTTTCAGCGGGTTCTTGGATGACCCCGTACCGTACACTCACCTTAATTCCAGTACTCGTGTTCAGCATTCAGATAACCCCCCCCCCCTATGCGAAGTTTCAGCAAAATCTGAGCCAGTTCTTGTGATCTACTGGAATATACCCGAAATCTTATAGTTCAAATACTTTGCACACGAGTCTATCTGTTTGACATGCTCCTTGTGAAATGTTTTCACTCCACAAGATAGGAAATTTCATGGGGTTTTGGTATGCAGAGACCACACTTTCAGTCCATAGCATGGGTGTATTTTGAGGAACGGCTATCGTCATGCACGAAATAGCCTTTTATACATAGTCAGAGCAAATTTGTGGCTCAATCTCTATCTGTCATGACCGTGCGAAGAAGTTTTGAATATCGTTTCGATAACATCAGTAACTCAAAGTCGAATCATTTCGTACAAACCTTTCAATTTTCCATTCTCGTGAGACCTATATGCATGCAGCTAGTGCAAACTAAATGACCTTGTTTGTTTCTTAGGATACGAGCAAAGAATCTTGGGAACTTCAGAATACTTCTTCACGCTTTATGTGATAAAATGGACTCATGCAGAACTTGCCAGAATAATCATTGATGCTGAGTGTATAGAACTATTGATGACACAGAAAACATCATCTTATTATTGATGAACGCGGTACAATTCTGCAACCTATGCAACCCCAGTGTAAGCGCTTTTATGAAATAAAGAATATTGAAGGCTTTCACAAAGTTGGAGGAGGTGAAGAAAGTAATATTTTTGCCTTCGGTAGCTGTAGGTTAGACTTCTCGAAGCAGATCCAATCATTTGTAATGACAGATTTCACTTTCCTTTCGTTGTAGCCAACCAGCTGTTTTTTTAGATCAAGCCCAGCGCTCACAGTGACTGGAATGATTTCCCTACCGAAGCGAAGGTGTTTGCACCTGCAACTGTAAGTGAGAAGTCTCAATAAAAGCAATGCAGACCAATGATTTGCGTCAGGTTCTGAAGACTAATGAGTTTCTCAAGAGTCGTCCACAATTATTCGTAGGAACCGGTCAGTCGATAAGTGCTCGTGAAGACAGTTCAAAGCAATGGGGAGGTAAGCGGAGATTCGCTTCGACGCCTATGCATATTTACTTTGAAGACCCCGGCGAAATACCCAGCACATCACTTGAAGCTCGCAGTTTACCTGGAATGAAGTCATTGTTCAAGATGTATGGTGAGGTAGCGGTCAGAAAGGTGAATAGTTTTCTCAATTCAGCACTCACACTCTATGAGAAAATTCGAACCCCGTTTGATGCCTGAGATTTTGAGCACAAAATCTCTAAAACTAGAACATATAATTTTGAATATCTTTGAAAGTTCAAAGTTGCTTCATTTCAACATAGTCTTCTAGGCTGCTCATACCGATCTTCTTCGAGCTGATGATAACATGGCCGAGGACGACGAGGAAAATGCCTCTAGCTCGTATCCTCGTGGTGAGGTGCGTATGTTTGACAAGATTATGATCGGAAAAGTTCTCATGCCCCAGGATTTCGACACTTCGCTGGAGGATACTGCAGCAGACCGGGACTGTTATCCCTTGGATCCTGGGCAGATCTACAGCAAAAGAAAGCAAATAATTCACAAGCATCAGAAATGGCCCTTGTACTGGGATAGACCTATAGATTTTCAGGTAATGTTATCTAACCAGAAGTGCTTGTCCACCAACATATTTATAGGAAGCTTCTTATATATTAATTGGTGCAGTACCTGTTCAAGAAAGTAAGGTGTGCAACAGTATACCGCAAGGCTTCCGTGGTGAAGGTACTTTTGTTGTGAACTGTGAACACCTTCACCGTTCGGATTCGAACCACGACGGGTTGGGATCTTGGGGTAAGCTATATTCCTTTCCGTCTGTAGTTCTTTTACTCTCGCTTTCTTGTAAATACCGCATTAGCAAGGCGTTCATGCGGTTTCGTTAGTTTTCTTCCGAATGCAGTGATATGGGTTCAATCCTTGGTGTTAGATCAGCGAAGCAAGCAAGATATGAATAGATGTTCGATGTTCATTCAAGAGGAAAGCGTTTGACCTTTTTCCTCGGCATCCTATCTTATCAAATCGCTCTGACCAATTCTATATATGCTTTATTTATATGTTGAAATCAGTTTTCAGGAAAACCTACCGGGAGAAATCGTTATTACGGCTCCAGTGAAGGAGTTTTTACACGGATGGACGATGGACGCGGGAATCTGCTACCACATGCAAAATACATCTGGAAATGTATGATGCGGAGGTACGAACATCCAATGACAGCTAGCGTAAACGGTGGCCAAAGCCGGTTCATCAAAAAGGTAAATTCTCAAGTTCTCACCGTGTCGTGGTTGGGTTGATATCGTTTGCTATGCATGTTTGCAGTTGTATACCGCTCTGTATCCCCCAGAACGGAAGGAAGTGATTTCATTCGTGGTGATTACTTATGAGTGGATTGGAAAACCTTTCAATTTCAGAGTGATACGTAAGTCGTGATAGTACCCTCTGGTCAATTGACATTACTGACAACAGTTTTCTAGCCATTCCAATGAAAAACAAGCGCGGAGGCCCATCAACACCCCACCCACCGCCAGGTTCAAAAGATTGGCAGGCGGCATCGTTTGTATGTAACTCAATGTGTAGTTCATTAGTATTGCATTCTAGAGTTGTCCGGAGTTTTCTTCGGATAACGTTGTATTGAAGTTGATATAAGATAGCTTTGATTTTTTAAGCAAGGCAGTGCGATGGCTGCGCTTCCAGCCACTTGTTCTGCCTACTTCGGCGACTGTCCGTTATACGCCGTAGGCGCAGTTGACTTCAATGTCGCTGCTTCCATAATCCTTGGCGGAACCATTGTTGAACCGTCCAAGTAGGTTATCGAAGTGTTCTATTTATAGTCTTCTTATTCGTTAACTGACCTCACAGTTATGTCTGATTTCCAGAGTTTGTAGTAAAGTTCCTCAAGGTTATCGCGAGTGCGGAACTTTTGTAATCGATTTGTCCAATTTTGTTACTGATGCAGAGTTGAGACGAGATGACAATGGCTGCTGGGGTAAACCGGCTGGTAATTCTAGGTATACCGTGTGGCTTCTTCCTTCTTCATTGGACAGTTCGTCATTTCAGGTATTACAAGATAGATCCGAACACGGGTGACGCCGTCAGGGTCGATCGCGGATGCAAACTCATCGAAGGTGCCGAGTATGATGTGCAGGTAGCCCTATCTATGGTATTAAAAGTTTAAAGCTTAGAAATTTCTTTCTAGATTCTTTCAAAGCGTTACGAACATCCGTCTGTAAATGGTAGGTTTGTTCGGAAAATATACACGGGTAGAAGTCCTTCAAATAGCAGGTCTGCTGACTCCACTTTTCAATCTCCCTTCTATTATTTCTATTTAGAGTTTACGAGAATTGCATGCTGTTGGCCGTCATGACTTATTATTGGAAAGGAGAACCGGAATATTTTGAAGTGGGGCCGCAGAGAAGGGTGAGTAATATTGGAATCTTCCAATATGATTTGCCTGCAAGTGAAGTGACCAGGTAAACTATATTCATCAGTTCCTTTCTTACCACTATAAGTATGCAGACCTGTTCTACACTCACGTGAGGATAGCTGCGTTTTTGTTACTTGTGTATGCGAAATCGCAATTTCTTAATTGTCATGTTCTGCCATTAGGAGCAGGGTAGAAGCATGTTGTCCACACTAGCTGTGGTTGATTTTCTGATACGTTCTGGTATTTGGTGCTATTCTCTCGCTTGTGAACTAACCTTTTTTGCATAAAGCGCACAATGGTGTATATCTCATTATCCCTGAAGTGCTTAGCGTATACGTAGTATAAGTACGTTACTTCTGATGCATGTTACTGTGTCCGTTTTTAGGTTAGGATTCCAGAAGATGCGGAGCGCCAGCGACTTCTGAATCAGATCTACGCTGGTCACGCGGCACCCATGCTTACTGCTGGTGAGTTAACGCACTATCAGAGTGGTCGAAATTCCCATTTTCCTTGCGGTGTGCAGTGGCAAAGGTACTGGACCTTGTTCTTAAAAATGCATCACTTTTTGAAAGCTTATTGAACCTTGAATAGTAGTCATGGGACTTGTTTTCTTTTTTTTTTCGATTTTGCGCACCGGTGATCGCAAAAGTCCATGTTCATTTCTTTTGTCAAGGGAAAAATGCCAAGTCATCCTGATAATTTGGTGAGAAATGTATAGCATCAACCCATTTCCTGAAACTGGCTTTTAATCTGCTTTCACATCTGAAAAAAAGTGTGATGTAGAACTGCCAACTTGTTGGCAGTCATTACAGTGAAGATCTAATTGATAGCGTGTTATTGCAATGTTGGGGAACGGCCATAGGTTGCCGAGGTTGCTGAGGTTACGTTGCCGGGATCAGAGACAGCTTAGAGAGCGCGCGAAACGTGGAGGCTATCATGAGGTCACACGACGGCAACCTCGGCAACCCTTATTGAGTTTCTCTTGAAAAAGGAGACATGCACTAAAGCCGGAAAACTCCTGACCGCTTTCCAATACGTATATGCCATTCAGCATTTGACAGATTTGGATTTTCAAGCGCTCATAAACTTCTTCAGAGAATCGTTTTGCAGATAAGGGGAACATGAAGTCAGTGTCTCAAGCTGATCTTGGTATCGTGCATCTCCTACATCTTTATGATCAGCGTCTATTCTGTCCTCGGTGATTTCTCCTACAAAAGCTTTTTCAGCTGGGGTACGATAGTATGAATCCATTTGCTCGCAAATTGCGATCATACCAGTTCTTTAGAAATTTCGTAAATCTACCAGGGTATGCTCTTAGTTAGTGTGTTACTAGGTATTTGTCAATCCCTTATTTTGATTGGGCGCTGTTTTACTTTTATAAATGAGCAATCTCCGTTCGGGCGCTTCTTCAACGCCCGATCACGGAATAGGCGGGAGATTGTTAATTACCAACCCAGGAGACCTCAAAATCGTTAATGTTTTGAACAGTAGGGCTATTAGTTTGCTTAACAATAGGTGATTTTCAGAAGACGCTCGTACAGCAAAACGGTTTCGTGCAGATTTGTCTGAACCTGGCGCCTCATCTGAGAGCGCACATGCCATCATGTACAGAACGGAAATTGAACTGCAGGTGAAGTGTGCACAGATCCTCCTTTTTTTGGTCAATGAATAATATACAGGAACGGCAAGCATGCATCTTGGATCGGTTCGAAGCATTCATGGACAGATTGGAAAGAATTGTTACGTACTTGCCACAACTCCATGAGCCTGTGCAGCAAGTGAGTTCATCAACATGCAGTAGTCTATCCACGAACGATCAAAAATACGCAGGTTTGGTTGGATGAGGCGTCACATGACGATGAAGTAGCTCGCGAAGAAGAGATAATCCTCGAAGACGATAATTACAATGAAGACTTTGTGCCTCGTCTTTCATAAATGCTTGAGTACAAAATTATAGTGTATTACATAAAGAGCTTATTACCGCTGATCCGTTGGACATGCAAGGATTATGAGGACTACCGGTGCAGATTTTTTTCACAATCAAGGAAGCTTTGATGCACCTTAAAGGCAGTGTCCGGGCAAGATGGAGGTTTTGGAATTTCAGTGTCATGCGAGAGCGACCCCTTCAGACACAACATCGCGCGAGTGCGACGTCATAACGCTCGACCTAAAGCAAGAAAAACGACCGGAAAGTGGGGAAACTTACGCCTTGGGGCGGGATCCTCCGAGCTGTCCGAATTCCTGCTATGCGACAGAGTAGTATGCCGCCACAGTTGAGATGTAGGGTCCCGCAGCGACTCTGCATCTCTGCCTTGGTGGGGCCGGCGGATTTCAGATTGTGCGGCTTTGGAAAATGTATGTACTACTCGCCGTTTCCGCGCCTTCTAATGTGGACTTACGGATTCAGCATTGCTTATAACCCTCGGTAAGCGGATTTTCTAGAAATCGAGTTTGCCCGGACACTGCTTAAGCAGTTAGAAATTGCCATGTGTAAGAATCGCAGAATCGGTTGACCTTGTGGCCGTTGCCGTCATAGAAATCCATCAAAGCACACAGAAAGAGCACGAAACGATTTGGAAAGTAGAAAAAGGCGTCCTATTTTTGAAAGTTTCTGTTGGGAGTGCAGCTTAAAAAACAGTGCAAGCACTCTATGGTGCTGAAACGAGGTTTAGAGTCCTTTCCCAATGCCGTTCCAGCACCGTGCTAGCCCCATGACGGAATTTCGATTAGTAAATAGGGCGCCATACGCGGGTACCAACGGCACTGATAGGGCGCTAGCACACGGCGCCGCAAAGACAGGTATAGTCGCCGCCTTAGGTTGCTACTGAAACTTAGCGGAATACATCTTGAGAAAATTTTTTGGAGCACTTCAGCATTGAAAATTGATTAATTGTTCAAGGCGGACCTACGAAGAATTTGGTCGTCGATACCGTGTACTCTATCCGGAAGGAAAAGCAATGTGGCGCGATAAACCGCGACAGTTTGCTGAAGAAGCATGTTACAAATATCTCGAGGTCTGGCACATGATTATCCTGATTAACCGTGCTCACCCAACACATTCTTATAGGAGGGAAAATTCGCACTGGGCAAGACAAAAATCTTCTTCCGCACTGGACAAGTTGCTCTTCTGGAACAAGTTCGGCTCGAAACTCTGAATGCCTCCGCAGTGCTGATTCAGTCGAGATGGCGTGGATACGTGGCTAGGAAGAGATATGAGGCCATGATGAAGAGCATACGCACTATACAGGTATTTGCCCTTTATAGGAGGCTTGAAAAAAATAACGTAATCCTAATCGAAAAGAAGTTCGTTCTTGAGTAAACCAACTCATAAGTGCATCAAAATGATCAGGAGTACAAATACTGATGTAGTGAGTATTATATCTAACGAAACGGTAGGGAAGTGTATTGAGTGGCAAAGATTTTCTTTTTGACACGCAATCAGGAATTAAAAGAAGATTTTTTAGCTTATTCAGTCAATTTTTGCGCAAAGGAAATTGAAGCCTCTACATCACCAAGAAATAAGTTCCTTACTTGGCTAGCATCGCGAAAAGCTTCACTTTCTGAATTTCTGTGTTGCTCAGATATGCAGTATTGGTTGCAGAGGCAAGTAGTTCTATAACTGGATACGCACAAACTTTGGCTAAATCGAATTCAAACTTCATTTTTTGTAGGCGATGTATGATTTTTTGCTTGTGCACGGAAATGTCTAAATTTCTGGAAGACTTTTGAGACAAATTTGTCCTGCTTTTTGAAACTTAACTCGGGAATTCAGCTTCAGACTCATTTATTAAAGTCCTCGCAAAGCTACAACTAATTTTTGATTCATTTTTTGACAGCATCTTGAAGACCTTTTGAATTGTCGCTCTCTTACAGAGATGTAAAACTGCGATTTGTGAACTTGTTATAACTGAATTGTTAGTGTAAACACAACAAACTTATCCTCTTGCTTGTATGATGAAAGCGAAATACTCATCAAGCTTTGTGCAAAATTAATTATATAAAACTTTACACTCATTACATACGCGCCTCTTGTCCCTTAAATTAACTTGAACCTTCTATATCTGAAAGCTTGATGCCACTTTGTAATGCTCAAATCTCCGACCTTATTTATTCTAAAACTTTTCGCTACTGATTTTATGTGGAATTGCGGTTAGCTGTTGGCAAATTCCGCTGCGATCCCCTGGGAGCAGCCTGAGAGTCGAACACATCCATCGTTGACCTCTTCTATGTGATGGCTGTCGAAGCCATACTAGTCTTCAGCGCAACCATAATCCACTAGTCTATAAACTCGTTATAGAGGATTTGAGAAAATTTCCAGGCTGCCACGAGGAAATTTTTCGCTGTCCGACAGCTACACTATCTGCAGATGCATCGCGCTGCAATCGCTATCCAATCAGCTTATAGGTAAGTAGCTTAGGCTATTATTTTGATTGGCGTCAGGACTTATGATGCCTCTAATAGATGTTCAAACCATCATTTACAGAGGATATGTGTGCAGAGCACGATATCAGGAACTTCGCGCCGCAGTCCTAGCCATTCAGGCCCACTATCGCGCCGCCAAGGTCCGCGCATGGGTGATGAAGGTCAGCAGAATCATCTGAAGTGTGGTTGTCGAACCTTAGAAAATGTTTAGATGCGCTATGAGAAATCCGCCATTATCATACAAAAGTACTGGCGAGGCTATCTCGTCCGGAGAGAAGAGATTAAGCGACGACAGAAGATCGTTTTGGTGCAGTGCTGTGTGCGTCGATGGCTTGCGAGGAGGCGTCTGCGAGAACTTAAGGTTGATTTTTGTATCTAGATTTCAGGAAAGTTTTTGCTCGTTTTAATAATTCTGAAGATTGTGATTGCATCAATTTGCCGCGCATTATCTCAATTTTATAGCAGAGATTTCTTCTGAAATTTGGGCAAAAGAGAGTGTAATTAAACGTTTTACATAATTTCACAAAATGACGTGGATACTCTGCTTTGTGGTGTACTATCCACTAGCAAGAACTATCTCTTTGGAACTGGTAGGGATGCCTCAGCTAAGCCATTGCTCAAGCGGCGGCTCATATGACTCATTCTTGGCTGACTAGATCAGCTCGGAAACCCAGTACCGTAACTGACGTCATTGCCTTGGAAGGAGTACGGTCTGGGCGGAAGTTTGCAGTTGTCCTTCTCAGTTACGAATGTATCGTATGAGATGCTATTTAAATAAACGCATAGATTCTCAATTAAATTTTTCTCAACACTTCTTTCAAAGCTTGATCTCATCATAATCTAACGCTCTATCATAAGTGCATACTCATCAATGAACAGTCTCAAAAATTGTAGATCTGTAGAGTTACCGATAGTTAATCTTATTGTTAGTTCACGAAACGTCAGCATAATTCATTTTCAGATCGAATCACGTTCTGTCAACCATTTTCAGAAGCTCAACTCCGGCCTTGAAAATAAGGTCATAGGTCTACAGATGAAGCTTGACTCAGTGGTTTGTAGGATATTCTTTTTATAAAAAAATGATTTTGGGCCACATTTATGAGCATCCCAAAATTTTTGTGACGTGTTCAATTTAGTGAAATTATTTGCTAACCATACCACTGCATTTCTCTGAACTATTATTGTGATCGAATATATGAGTCTTGTAAAATCTCGTTGTTTTAGACATCAGATCGTAACCGGCTAGCTGCAGTTGAGGATCAACTCCAGAGGATGCTTGCCGAACTTGTTTCTGCAGAAGCAGAGAAGTAAGTAAAATTATCCAATATTGCAATCTTAATTGCCTCTGCCCATCGACGTTGAACCACTTCTCTGTAAGACTTTGTAATCTTAAGAAGCGTTTTTTAGTTCTTTGCATAAGCTTTTGATTCTTTTTTATCTCAGAGTTCCGTGCCTCTAAAATTAAGAGACTGAAACTTGAAATTCCTTCCTGTGACTTCTCTTGCTCTGCAATAATGAATAGTAATGAATAATAGCCGGATTAGCTTTACCTTGCGCTACACATTGCTTCTCCAGGGATAAGAATCTTGAGCCGAGAGACCTTGACATGACCACTCGATGGCTGTGGTGCTTGTGCCTTGAAAATCTTGATGAAACCTACTACACAACTTTTGCACTATATAGTCAAGTAGATATAGCACTCGATAGGAACACTATGGGGTTTCCTAATCCAAATAGGGGGAAAACTGAATATTTCCAAAAAGAAATTGTTTTGTTTTTTTCTGGAAAGTCAACAATAGGGAGTAGCTTCGAGTTCTGCAGTATTCCCTCGCAAAAAAAATATGTAAAATCTGAGCTTGGCATCACTGCTCAACAGACTCACTGGCTACATGGTGATCAGCTTTTCTCGTTGCAATTCAGTCATATGCTCTCTTAGTCTAAAGATTTCAAACAATTTTTGGTATTTTTGATTCTAGACTTGTAGCGGCTGCTTCTGTACAGAAGAATGTGTTGAGTAGCAAAGATTTTCTTTTCAATCCTTTGTGCTCAGCAAAATTGTCTTGGAAAAGAGTTATTTTGGAGCATGCTGATCTTAGGCCTCGGGCAGAGTTCACGCGATTTGATCGTCGCAGTTGATCGCGGCAAAACAACTAACAGTATCATTGCATGCCGATCTTCTTGCATTTCGGTTGTGATAGTTTTCCAACACGACTAATCGTGACTAACTATCGCAACCAAACTACAAGAAGATCGGCATGAATGAACTCGTAACACCTGTCTCATAGCGACTGAGTCGCGACGATCAAATTGCGTGAACTCTGCCCGAGGCCTTAGAGAATTTGCATCAACAAATCATTCTGATACTATGGTGAAGTGGACTTCAGGGTGTATTTGTTTAGTGCGTTGCAGATACTATTCTGAAACTCTCTCAACGCTACAATTTTCGTCGAATTGCCGTAAGATCGAAAACAAGATTCACGTAAACGAGGAACAATGTGGTGATCTTATAATGGCATATAAGGCTGAGAATAAACGTCTGCGAGAAGAAATGGCCTCCATAGAGGAACGAGTTAAAGCAGGTGTGTGGCACTGGACTGTCAAAATGATTGGGAATTAATACTGTGTCACTGGGCTGTATGCTTCAGAAATGAATGAAAAGTTGGCAGCAATTCAAAGAGATTTGAAACAGTGGAAGCAACTGACTATAGACCGCGAACAAGCACTGGTAGAAGCACAGTTGCAGCGTGATTTATTTGCTGCCCAACTGCCTGGTGCATCTGATGAAGGAGAAAACTTACTGCCAGAAGAACCGTAAGTTTTGTCCTGTTCATAAGTGAGTCTGCTGAAGTTTGTTATGGTCAGGATGTCGGAAATGGAGCTGGAGCCCGAGCACAGGCCAGCAAGTGCCAAATATGTGGGAAGGTTTTCAAGACGTTAGCAATTTATTACTTCTTTTATTTTCGAGAATTACAATTTTTTGACTATTTTCAGTAAAAGCAAGTTGGAGAGGCACGGTCTAGCGCATCAGGACGAAAAACATTTTAAATGTGAGCACTGTACCAAGTCGTACAAGTTCAAGGAAGGCCTACGAAAACATCTACGCAGTTCGCATTAACCACGAGTGAGTTCAATTTGATTAAATTTTAGTCACTGTCATCGGTTTCAGAATTGTACACAGAGCGGGCGTTAATGCGTCGTCAATGGAGGTGGGGGGGGGGGAAGTTCATTCGTCAGCTGTACACAATAAAAGGGACTCATCCCGACACGTAGTTTTGGTACATACGACACTGCGTAAACAACAAAGCCTATCCATGCCTAGTAACAACCCGAACAAACGTCATGATAACGCTTCAAACTATGGAAACAACTCGAACAATCATTTGCCTTCAGTGAACCACGGGGATATTCGATGGGACAAGAGAGGGATTCGCTAACATATCAATGCGTTCGGGTGAATATGCTCAGTAGTCTACAAGTTATGCATGAACTGTATCAAAAGCCTCATCTACGAGTGCCAATGCCAAAGCCGCCCTCTGCAGCCCATCTCGCTGTTGCACCAACTTCCGGAGAGCGGGTTCTCGTGGGGTCCTGTGTCTCGTCTGTACCTCGCATTGCCATGCGGTACCATCCCATAGTAGAATATGTTGAAACCTAAAAATGTTCGGCCCTCTAAGGGACTAAACTTTTATTATGCTGAGCGATGCAGTGGTCACTACCAGGATGAAAGCGGTGCAAGTCCGAAAAAGGTACCCACAACGTGAATAAGCGTTGTCGCGGGACTATCACGATTCCTCTGCCGTGTTATGTATTTTAGAAAGCCACCCTGCGCGACTTGCCCATTATTTCTCGACTTGGCGCTGTGGTCGATGGCACGATTTCGAGTATTCCTGCAAAGACCTAAAATGTCCTACGTCGTGCGGCCTTGGAACGTCAGCACTATACTTTGGAATATTCGAAATTTTTTTCGAATAATCGAATAATCGAATATATTCGAAAGTCAAAAATATCGAATAAACGAATTTCGAATATTTTCGAAAATAAATGCCGAATATTCGAATATCCAATATTTTTCAAAATCAAAAATGTAGAATAATCGAATCTTATATATAAAGCTGAATGTCTGTTTGTATGTCTGTCTGTCTGTCTGTCTGTCTGTATGTCTGTGTGTACGTATGTTCCGAATAGAAAATTCCATTTCTGAACCGATCCGGACCAAACTTGGCACACATACACTTCGGGCCCCGGCGGGTGTCATAGGCTACTTTTCGTATCGATCGATATCGATTTTATCGATTTTTTGCAAACTTTGAGCTACGGGGCTGGGAGTTGGCACAGGGGGGTAAGTGAGCATGGGGATTCCGAATACAATATTAGTTTTTAAAATCGTGCATTACTTTTATCGATTTTATCGATTTTTTTGCAAAGTTTGAGCTACGGGGCTGGGATTTGGCACAGGGGGTAATCGAGCATGCTGATCACCCCCGTGGGGATGATCAGCATGCTCGATTACACCCCCTGCCAAATTTCAGCCCCCTAGCTCAAATTTTGCAAAAAAATCGATAAAATCGATAAAAGTAATGCACGGTTTCGAAAACTAATATTGTATTCGTAATCAGCATGCTCGATTACCCCCCTGCGCCAAATCCCAGCCCCCTAGCTCAAATTTTGCAAAAAATTGATAAAATCGGCATTAATCGATAACGAAAAGTGGACTGTGACACCCGCCGGGGCCCGAAGTGTATGTGTGCCAAGTTTGGTTCGGATCGGTTGAGAAATGGAATTTTCTATTCGGAACATACGGCGGAGCCGGGTATGCCAGCTAGTATCGAATAAATTCGGAATGAAAAAATTTCGAATATTCGAATATATTCGAAAAAAACTCTCGAATAAACGAATACTTTGTATAAACTATGTTGAATATTCAAACAAATCTAGTCGTATAGTACAAAAAAAGACTCCCAGTAGTATACAACTTAAAGACAAGCAAGATGATATATTCAGAATGTAGCGCATATTACTGAGCTGTTGACAGATCCGGTTCTGCTCGGTCTACTTCCTCATAAGACTATAGAAGTCAACAATCTAATCCACTGTGAATACCGGTCTTCTGCCTCCACTCTTAAGTGCGCAAATCAGTAAAAACAAAGGGCTCATTCACACCTACTTTTAACACCTACTTTCGATCAAAGGCTGCAAAAACATCAAAATTAAAAGCGCGATTGTTGATGGAGTTAGCATTCCTATCTTTTTCCAACACCCAATTTCTCAGCAGCATGCCCACTCAAACTTGTGCACGAACTTTAGCCTCGAATTCGAGTCCAAACAATGTTGTCTCTTTTCTGGACGTTTACATACTTGGACCTTCTTTCAAACTCGAAAAGGAGTTCTCCAAGAGTGAAAGACAGACAGGTTCAAGCGCTCAAAACTTAATGAAAAACTCGCGTACTTTTGGATGCCCTTACTGGGTAGATCCTTCACGAAGATTCACTCCAATAAATTCCATGTAGAGGACTTCACAAATTTTACTCACTGGCAACTTGGGCAATCAGAATAAAACAACAAAGAAACAATTATTGCGTATCAAAAACATATGGGTCCTCTTCCTCCGGTTCTTCCGAGTCATCAGAGTATGATTTCTCTGATGTACTACGAGCTGCATTCGACTCGTAGTCGCACCCATAACGAAGGACTTCCTTTTGTGTCCAAGCTTTGCATGACCTAAATAGTTAAATTTTTACAAGTTCAACACATTTTATAAGTTGAAGAAACTTTTCACCTACTGGTTTCCTTATTCGAAATAGCGTTGATCATCAAAAAAGCCTTGCGCGTTTTGCTGTGAGTCGCCCTCTCCTTTTATTGCCATATATAATGCCAGCAATGCATTAGTACTTTGGCCAAAAAAGTAGACCAACTTTGAAAAAAAAACTGTTCTTGTTGGGTATACGGATTAATGAGCTTTCAAATCTCAGAAAAGGAAAAATGCTGCCTGACTTCTTTGTGAAATGGTTTCTTTTGAGTGTGTACATGTTGTAATCCAAGAAATATGCTGTTCTAGCAAGTAAAGGGGAGTGGGAGTTGGGACTGAAAGAAGACTATATTTCTTTTTTATTCATGAAGGCTTTTGTTAACTTTTACGTTTATTTCAAACACATGTCATATCACTCGATTTTGTTTTCTAGTTATAGCCTTCACAGAAGTTGATGTAAAACGTGGTACTGCAGTGTAAGTGCTAAATTCCGGACATGACGCTATATAGAGCTGTTCACATACAAAGTGTTTATTAGATTGAGAAGTGTACCCTCCGAAGTTTCCATCTTGCAATAGGCATTCTTTTTACATTATGTAAAATATGTATGCAATGGATTATTTCGCTAAAAAATGGCACCGCTTGAGGCTTTGACATAGATTTCGAAAACGGTACAGTGATAGTCTTGTTTGAAGATATACCGGGCTTGTTTTTTATGTGTGGTCTCAAATGCTGCAGTATAGTTGTTGATTTGCGAACTTAACGTAACTTTGAGATCTAGCATTTTCATTCTTCGTCATATCTCTTGTCATCGATTATTGCTTAGCAGCACTTGAACAACACCATAGGAGTTGAAATTTTTCCAGTCAAAAGTCAGTCGAACAGTTAGAGTCTTCCCTTGTATTGTGTTGTAATTTACGCTTTGTAACGAACATTCCAACTTCAAAACATTACTGTGCAGTGACATGGTGCTGAGACAGCTAGAGGAGCTATTGATTTTTGCGATACACTTGTCAGAAACTTGTTTTGCATCTGAAAATGCAACGGAAGTAGCGGATGCAAAGCCATGAAACACAGAGTTTGCTATTGCGCCGGTATGCAGACATCTGTATTTGGTGCAGTGTCGTTGCCAAGTGCGAATACTTGACATTTTCTTTATACATATCGTTACTCAAGAGACGTACAATATCATGGGCGTATTTTCAGCAGAATCTGTTTGAAGAGATGACCGAACCTTTTGTACGAGGCCCTTGCTATCCTCCTCGTTCTCGATCTTTGGGTCGTACTAGTGCATTAGCCGTAACATCAACAACATCATCATCGTCGTCGTCATCATCCACAGCATCATCCTCCTCTAATCAGCATCCTCAGCATCATCGTTTGCGCTGGCATCCTCAACATCAAGGTCTGTTTCGTCTTCTTCTGTGTTGAATGCATTTGGTGCAACAGTCGTTCAACGAGATTTTTTTTTAGATTTTTTGATATCTGCGCGCCCGTTGAGTCAGTCATAGATTTGAATTAGTGCTTACCGTCAACGATTTCGACGGTTCGGCGTTGCTCAAATAAGATTAAAGCTTTTTTTGATTTGTTAGTATTCTCCATATCGCTCGTACTTTCTTGAAGTTTCTAACATACGTTTCATGTTATCCTCTTTGTTTCTTTAGACGAGGAGTGCTCTTGTAGTGTTCCTATTTCCTGCTTATGAATTTATGAGTTCTGCTCGAACATAATTTTTCCATACACAACATGAACATAGGCCTTTGCCCTTTGCTTAGCCTCCAGTCATTTCTACTGTCTTGGGCTTATTTATTACCTTTAAACGCTGTATCTCTCAGATCGGTTTCTGTGAGTCTGAATGTTGAAGTTCTTCTTTGTCGTGGTATTACTTGAACTCTTTTAAGAATGCTGAATTCTTCATAGGGTATAATGTGGGGATTGTAGCTGTTGTTTTGTCTCGATACAGCTTTCTTTGTAAATAAGTTCATGAGATGAAGAACCCTTAAGTCTGCTTGGACCTATGGAGTCTATGACTTTTCCCTGTTGTGCATCTTCCAGGGCTTAACTATTACTGTTTTTCTGTTCAAATGTGATGGTATTACTTTTGTTTTTGTCGAGTTTTTATGACATCTTGCTTCTTGAATACATCAGAAAATGAGGAGCAATCCTAGTGCGCTAGCTTCCTATATTTCTTTTGATTTTCATCACTGTTTTGCATCAGTGTTCTTTCTATTAGGTATTTGTCGTTGTACATAAAAATCTTTTGTAAAGTGGATTTTATATGAAATCATGTTATCAAAGTTTTCAGTGAGTTTTCAGTGCAAGCTGACTTTTATCGTGCATTGTTCATATTCTCAAGTGCATCTCAGGCACATGCATTAGTTTAACAACGTTAACAACGTATTTTACAAAGATAGTGATTATGTTGGGTGTTTCGTAGGCATTCCCATTTTACAATTGTTTCGCCATGTGCAAAAGATAATGTTTTGCTACGATCTCATGAGCACGTCTTAGAGGCCTTTGCCACAGAATAAAGGCAGTGGCTTGGCAGATGAAGAAACTGCATCTTTCCTTAAGTGATCAATCCTTTTTGATAGAACACCAACAGCCATTCGTTAGATAGGCGACAGACTTAATTAGCAGCTTCAGCAGGATACGGCACGATTACTTTTATGTGGTGGCTTGTTAGAGGGAAGACCAGCGGCATCCACGAACGCTGCAACAGTTTTTACATTGGTAAGACCTTTTCGTTGCTCTCAGTCGCGAGGTCTTTTATCATCTCCTCGAAACTACTGCCGTAGTGAACAGTCGCAGCTATCACTTCGATTTCCGTCTAACATGACGCCAAATGACCTTAATTGCGAAGCGTCTTGCTGAAGCAGCCACTAGTCAGGAAAAAACGGCTCGACTTGCGTGCGGTTACATAGGAAAACGTTCATTATGAAGCGTCTTTTCAAACGACTCCAATTTTTCTTGGCAAAGTCAAGTTAGAAAGGCGAAGAGGTCTCTATGCCGAGTTGAAACAGTCATAGGCATCACACTCTCAGCTCAGTTACTTCCAGTGTCTAAATACTATCATATGCGAGCAGAAAAAGCACTTGAGATGAAATCCAGGGGAATTCGGTTGCGGGAGTGCGTGCGTGTCGCGCGCGGTCGTGTTATCGTCACGATTTTTCGAATGCCCTATATGTCATTTAAGGCTCCGCCTGCGTAGTTGACTGATTCGGGTTTGTAGATCCCAGCAGGCTTTCAGAAGAGATATCTGGGGCTGCCATGCAGGTTCCCGACCTCTTTAAGAAACTCAATGAATCTCATGTACGAAACGTTTGTCGAAACTTCTGTGAATTCAAAAGAATCGATTCTTTAGTTGATCTCCCCAATGACAAACAACATTGCTCCTGCCAACAAGCTCCGCGTCAAGGTGATAAAGGCCAATCACCTCGGCAGAGGCACAGGTCTGCGCGAGTTTGGACGCGAGGCATGAGACAGCAAAGGCCAGCCGTTAGTGTTTCTGGAAGTAAATGGGAGCTCCAATCCTTCTCGCGACCTCGATTGCTTTCCTCACACCCCTCATACCTTAACAAGAGGGAGTAGAGATTGGAGACAGTTGTAGTGTTCGATTGAGCCATTAGAGTCTTAGTTGCTGAAATAAAAGGAAAAAGAACTGTATAAAGTATAAAAACGAGGAAGAAAGTAGCTGATAAAGTGCTTAGAGAAAGCAAAGATGCTAGCGTAGATATAGACATGCGTTCCTCGCCAATTTTTCCAAAAATTCTGGACTGTTGACCCGCTCTTTGCCATTGTTACAACCAGTTGTTGAACTAAATCCCTTTAAAAATGTGTAAATAATATTTGGAAGGTTCCTCACCAGCTTGTTGCTCACCAACGTCAAAAATTAGTGTGTGGCCTGATGCCATACACAAAAAGGTGCGAGGAAAGTAATCAAAGGTGCAAAGCTTGGAGCTCACCAAGTGCTTCTGCAGCAAAGGTGGCCAACCGCCCGCCAGTTTCATTTTGGAATTAGCATGTGAACAACGTTATCTCCAGCTATCATCGATGTCCAACAGCCGTACGTGGTCATTGAAATGGACGAACCAGCCCAGAAATTTACAACGACCAAAGTAATCAACGCCTGTCCATACTGGGAGGAGTCATTTGATTTTTAAGGTTTTTGGATAATTAAGTGTTCTTTACACCTTGTAATCATTGCATTCCAGCGACATAACTCCAGCGTCAGAAGAGATTCTCTTTGAAGTGTACGACACAGGCCTAAAGGCTTCCTCCATGTGTAAATCTTGTTCTATTTGCGAAAGGTATGCTTGGCAGTGAAAGTCGGATTCAAGTAGCTAGAACCTACTTCACCGCTTCTTTTGATCTCTTCGAAGTTTACTATGGCGAAACCCAAAAAGGTTTGTCGTCCATGCGTGCAAGCAGTCGCTCAGCAAAACTTTGCACGGAGTGGGATTTGAACCCACGCACCCTGACGAGTACCAGAACGCCCAACCGCGACCTCGCGGCAAGTGAATGCTTGAGTCTGGCGCCTTAGACCACTCGGCCATCCGTGCATGGTACACATCAAAGACAGGCAACCTTTAATTTCGTTTGCTGTTGGGGGATTTTGCAAGCGGTCAGCGTTCTAGACCACTTGGCCATGCGTGCAAGCAGTCGCCCAGCAAAACTTTGCACGGAGTGGGATTTGAACCCACGCACCCTGACGAGTACCAGAACGCCCAACCGCTAACTTGCGGCAAGTGAATGCTTGAGTCTGGCGCCTTAGACCACTCGGCCATCCGTGCATGGTACACATCAAAGACAGGCAACCTTTAATTTCGTTTGCTGTTGGGGGATTTTGCAAAACAGCGGTCAGCGCCCTAGACCACTCGGCCATGCGTGCAAGCAGTCGCCCAGCAAAACTTTGCACGGAGTGGGATTTGAACCCACGCACCCTAACGAGTACCAGAACGCCCAACCGCTAACTCGCGGCAAGTGAATGCTTGAGTCTGGCGCCTTAGACCACTCGGCCATCCGTGCATGGCACACATCAAAGACAGGCAACCTTTAATTTCGTTTGCTGTTGGGGGATTTTGCAAAACAGCGGTCAGCGCCCTAGACCACTCGGCCATGCGTGCAAGCAGTCGCTCAGCAAAACTTTGCACGGAGTGGGATTTGAACCCACGCACCCTGACGAGTACCAGAACGCCCAACCGCTAACTCGCGGCAAGTGAATGCTTGAGTCTGGCGCCTTAGACCACTCGGCCATCCGTGCATGGTATACAACAAAGGCAGGCAACCTTTAATTTCGTTTGCTGTTGGGGGATTTTGCAAAACAGCGGTCAGCGCCCTAGACCACTTGGCCATGCGTGCAAGCAGTCGCCCAGCAAAACTTTGCACGGAGTGGGATTTGAACCCACGCACCCTGACGAGTACCAGAACGCCCAACCGCGACCTCGCGGCAAGTGAGTGCTTGAGTCTGGCGCCTTAGACCACTCGGCCATCCGTGCATGGTACACATCAAAGACAGGCAACCTTTAATTTCGTTTGCTGTTGGGGGATTTTGCAAAACAGCGGTCAGCGCCCTAGACCACTCGGCCATGCGTGCAAGCAGTCGCCCAGCAAAACTTTGCACGGAGTGGGATTTGAACCCACGCACCCTAACGAGTACCAGAACGCCCAACCGCTAACTCGCGGCAAGTGAATGCTTGAGTCTGGCGCCTTAGACCACTCGGCCATCCGTGCATGGTACACATCAAAGACAGGCAACCTTTAATTTCGGCTGTTGGGGGATTTTGCAAAACAGCGGTCAGCGCCCTAGACCACTCGGCCATGCGTGCAAGCAGTCGCCCAGCAAAACTTTGCACGGAGTGGGATTTGAACCCACGCACCCTAACGAGTACCAGAACGCCCAACCGCTAACTCGCGGCAAGTGAATGCTTGAGTCTGGCGCCTTAGACCACTCGGCCATCCGTGCATGGTACACATCAAAGACAGGCAACCTTTAATTTCGGCTGTTGGGGGATTTTGCAAAACAGCGGTCAGCGCCCTAGACCACTCGGCCATGCGTGCAAGCAGTCGCCCAGCAAAACTTTGCACGGAGTGGGATTTGAACCCACGCACCCTAACGAGTACCAGAACGCCCAACCGCTAACTCGCGGCAAGTGAATGCTTGAGTCTGGCGCCTTAGACCACTCGGCCATCCGTGCATGGCACACATCAAAGACAGGCAACCTTTAATTTCGTTTGCTGTTGGGGGATTTTGCAAAACAGCGGTCAGTGCCCTAGACCACTTGGCCATGCGTGCAAGCAGTCGCCCAGCAAAACTTTGCACGGAGTGGGATTTGAACCCACGCACCCTGACGAGTACCAGAACGCCCAACCGCTAACTCGCGGCAAGTGAATGCTTGAGTCTGGCGCCTTAGACCACTCGGCCATCCGTGCATGGTACACATCAAAGACAGGCAACCTTTAATTTCGTTTGCTGTTGGGGGATTTTGCAAAACAGCGGTCAGCGCCCTAGACCACTCGGCCATGCGTGCAAGCAGTCGCTCAGCAAAACTTTGCACGGAGTGGGATTTGAACCCACGCACCCTGACGAGTACCAGAACGCCCAACCGCTAACTCGCGGCAAGTGAATGCTTGAGTCTGGCGCCTTAGACCACTCGGCCATCCGTGCATGGTATACAACAAAGGCAGGCAACCTTTAATTTCGTTTGCTGTTGGGGGATTTTGCAAAACAGCGGTCAGCGCCCTAGACCACTCGGCCATGCGTGCAAGCAGTCGCCCAGCAAAACTTTGCACGGAGTGGGATTTGAACCCACGCACCCTAACGAGTACCAGAACGCCCAACCGCTAACTCGCGGCAAGTGAATGCTTGAGTCTGGCGCCTTAGACCACTCGGCCATCCGTGCATGGTACACATCAAAGACAGGCAACCTTTAATTTCGGCTGTTGGGGGATTTTGCAAAACAGCGGTCAGCGCCCTAGACCACTCGGCCATGCGTGCAAGCAGTCGCCCAGCAAAACTTTGCACGGAGTGGGATTTGAACCCACGCACCCTAACGAGTACCAGAACGCCCAACCGCTAACTCGCGGCAAGTGAATGCTTGAGTCTGGCGCCTTAGACCACTCGGCCATCCGTGCATGGCACACATCAAAGACAGGCAACCTTTAATTTCGTTTGCTGTTGGGGGATTTTGCAAAACAGCGGTCAGCGCCCTAGACCACTCGGCCATGCGTGCAAGCAGTCGCTCAG